CACTTCAACACCAACTTCACAGTCACCTTCCCACACTGCCCCCCCCCCTGATCTTCAACAGATCAGTTCCCTCCTGCTTCAAACTCCACAATCAACCCGGTCCCCAAAAAACCCTCCATCTCTGGATTAAATGACTACAGGCCTGTCACACTGCCATCTGTAGTCATGAAGTCCTTTGAAAGACTGGTGTTGGCCCACCTGAAGGACATTACAGTCCCCCTGCTGGACCCCCTGAAGTTTGCCTACAGGGCTAACAGGTCAGTGGATGATGCAGTCAACTTGGGACAGCATTTCATCCTTCAACACCTCTACTCTCCAGGGGTATGTGTGCAAGGATCCTGTTCGTGGACTTCAGCTCAGCGTTCAACATAAGCCCAGACTTCCTCAACACCAAGCTCACCCAGCTCACTGTGCCAGCCTCCACCTGCCGGTGGATCACAAACTTCCTGACTGACAGGAGTCAGCAGGTGAGGCTGGGGAACATCACATCCAGCACCCGGACTATTAGCACTAGCGCACCACGGGGGTGTGTGCTCTCCCCCCTGCTCTTCTCCCTCTACACCGACTCTACAACGGCTGCACCTCAGGAGACCCATCTATCAAACTCCTGAAGTTCACTGATGACACAACGGTCATCGGCCTCATCCGGGACGGTGATGAGTCGGCCTACAGATGGGAGGTTGATCAGCTGGCTCTCTGGTGCGGCCAGAACAACCTGGAGCTTAACACACTCGAAATTGTGGAGATCAGTGGACTTTAGGAGGAACCCCCCTACTCTGCCCCCCATCACCATCCTAAACAGTCCTGTGTGTGCTGTGGAATCGTTCAGGTTTCTGGGATCCACTATATTCCAGGACCTAAAGTGGGAGCCCAACACCATCATCAAGAAGGCCCAGCAGAGGATGTACTTCCTGCGCCAGCTGAGGAAGCTCAACCAGCCTAAGGAGCTGCTGATCCACTTCTACACAGCCATCAGCCAGTCTGTTCTCTGCACATTTCAGGACTGCTACCAACAATCTGGACGAGTTTACAGAGGATGTGACGTCCTACATCAGCTTCTGTGAGGACACATGTATACCAACACGCACCAGGGTGAGTTACAACAATGACAAACCCTGGTTACAACCAAACTCAGACAGCTCAGGTTGGAAAAGGAGGAGGCATTTAGGAAAGGGGACCGAGCCGGGTGCAGGGCGTTAAAGTACAGGTTTAGTAAGGAGGTGCGAGAAGCTAAACGACTGTACGCAGAGAGGCTAAAGAACCAGTTCTCTGCAAACGACACCACTTCTCTCTGGAGGGGGTTCAGACAGACACTAACTACAAACCCAAAGCCCCCCACTACATCAACGACTCTCGCCTTGCAAATGAGCTGAACCAGTTGTACTGCCCCTTTGAGAGTCAATCGGAGACCATCCCCCCATCACTGACTTCCTGACGGACAGGAAGCAGCATGTTAAGCTGGGAAAACCTGTCTCTGATTCCAGGACCATCAGCACCGGTTCCCCTCAAGGCTGCGTCTTTCCCCTCTGCTCTTCTCCCTGTACACCAACAGCTGCACCTCCAGTCACCAGTCCGTCAAGCTCCTGAAGTTTGTGGATGACACCATCCTCATTCGGTTTATCTCTGATGGTGATGAGTCCGCCTACAGGTGGGAGATCGACCATCTGGTGACCTGTTGCAGCCAGAGCAGTCTGGAGCTCAATGCTCTGAAGACAGTGGAGATGGTCGTGGACTTTAGAAAGAGCCCAGCCTCAAGCTCCCCCATCATCCAGCGTGATTCCCCAGTCGCCACTGTGGACTCCTTCCACTTCCTGGGCACCATCATCTCCCAGGACCTCAAGTGGGAGCTGAACATCACCTCCATCATCAAAAAGGCCCAGCAGAGGATGTACTTCCTGCGGCAGGTGAAGAAGTTCAGCCTGCCAAAGACAATGATGGTGCACATCTACACCACCATCATTGAGTCCATCTTCATCTCCTCCATCACCACCTGGTACACTGCTGCCACTGCCAGGGACAAGGGCAGGCTGCAGCGTATCATTCGCTCTGCAGAGAAGGTGATTGGCTGCAATCTTCCTTCTCTTCAGGACCTGTACACCTCCAGGACTCTGAGGCGGGCAGGAAAGACTGCAGCTGACTCCTCCCACCAGCTTCTTCCCGTCTACAGCTAGCCTCATCAACAAGGCCCGGGACCCCCACTGACACTCCCCCTTGCAAATAATACATATGTCTCTGCACATGTAAACACTATTTCATTTCATATCATGCACAAACCTGGCACATTGCACACATTTGTTAGTAATTGTTAACCTTTCTTGTTGAATATTTTTTACATTGTCAATTTATATATTTCGTGGCAATACGTCCGCACTACATAAACCCAGAATAATGCACATGTTCTGCAAATAGTTATTGTTTTTCTCTATTCTTTTTAATATTCTTATATAACTTGCACTGCATTGTCTATTCCATATTTTTATATTTCTACATTTATTTATGTCAACTATATGTTTGTAGCACCTTATCACCAAAGCAAATTCCTCAAATGTGTAAAACACTACTTGGCAATAAAGCTCCTTCTGATTCTGATTGTCTGTGCAATAACCCAGTAACTCTGTCTCTAATAAGCCACCTGTTTACTGGCTACCGCCTATTATTTATTCATCTCTCTCTATTTCAGAGCTTTTCATATTGTATATTATATATACTGTATACCAAATCCACCTACCTCAAGTACATAATACCTGCACATATTTATTGCAGCATCCTTTGCACTATGCTCCATCACACTGTGTACATGTGTACATGTATGTGTATGTGCACCTGTATATCACATCCACTTCCTACATAATAACATACATAATACATACATAATAATAATAATTATGATCATTACACTATTGTCTCAATATGTCTATATTGTTTTTGTTTATAGTGTATGTATGTGTTCTCTATACTGTAGCCTGTGTGTGATTGATATATATTTTTTTATCTTATTTTATAATTGCATTATTGTATAAGTAAGCACATTGTGAGCATTTTACAATCCTGAGTCAAATTCCTCAAATGTGTACACATACCTGGCAAATAAAGCTGATTCTGAAAATATGACCATTTTGGGTGAAATATCAGTTTAAGCCTTATCTGTAAAGTAAGAGCATCTTAAAAAATCAAAACTTATCAATCACAAGGAGTGATCTCCGATGAAGGAGCACTGACATTAACCCACACAACACATATTGTATCTGCATGCATGAGCACACACACCCACACGTTCGCTGTCCAACAAACTGGAGTTCTACCTGTTCAAAGTTTACTCTCTTTTCAGGAGATCCTTTTCCAGCACATTTTAGGTTACATAATCTAGTCTGAGATGCCTTTTTCAGGAGAAAATGTCATTTTTTTCTCTACTGAAATATTTACTGAAGAATATTTGATGAGTGCATTTGGCAGATGCCATGACACACCCATAAGAGTTAGTCAGCAACCTCGTTAGATTAGATATCCAGTCCTGCATCATCATAATTCAACCTTATATGGCCCTAACTTTCATCTGCTGCTTACTGCAAGATTTATACATTTCTTCTCAATTGTTCACTAAACTGGGAACCCTGCTATGGCTTAAAAAGGACTTTAAAAAGTAAAATGCTGTTGGCAAAGTAAATGTCAATATCATGTTGCATCGCAAGTGGTATGAAATTGAAAACGGAATTGTATATGAAGCATTACTTCAAAATCCATCAGGAAATACTTATACCTATGCCATGTTTTAAATAAATGACATGAGATGGCCAGATGGTGGTGCTATAACAACAAACTTTACATTTTGGCCTGTCACCTTTGAACTGCAAGTCTCAGGAACAAATGTTTGTTTTCTGGATTCTGTGGGTCCAGATGAAACTATCTATTTGCAATTTTCCCGTCTCTTTTTTTTCACACATATTTTGTGCTGTCATCACCAAATGTAGTACAGAATATCTCTGGACCAAGCTGGAGCCAAAGTTCCTTTCTCAGATTTTTGAGATTCAAAATATAGAAGCTGTTCTATAACTGGCCTCCCGCAAGCAGCCATACATGGTTCTCAACAACACTGTAAGCAGCAATTCCAGGGGCAAAGCAATCAGCCCGCTCAAAACAGCCACTGCACTAGTATATTATTTTTTTCTGCAAAAACAAATTTTTAGCTGATGCTCACCACCATTGGTTGAAATAAAAACAAACTGGCACCACAGCCCCTTCTCTAATCCCCTCCTTTAGTGTTATATACCAACACTGCAGCTTCACAAGCTATAAGCATGAATGGAGGAAATTTAACCATGTGACAACTAAGAATAAAGCAAGAGAGTTGAAGCAAGTTGAAGCAAGTTCAGGCTGAATCTGCCCAGGAGCAGCTATATTTTAGTGCAAGGCTCTAAGGAAAAAAATGTCAATGTAGAAAACCACACTCTTAGATCCAAAGAATTGCTCTTTATATATATGGTTGGAAAAGGAGACCATACAGCTGAGCAATCCAACCCATGACAGAGGGAGTCAGTTTATCAGAATATTTCATCTAAAGGCTATTCATCTTTTTTAGAAAGCCACGCCTGCTGAGGCAGGTGAGGCGTACAGGTGTGTGTGTGTGTGTGTGCTGTAGATTTATTAACATGAATCATATAAGATGGCGAAACATGATTTGAGTGCAGATGAAATGTTCTGAGAAAATGTCTCCTGAAGTACAAGCAGACAGTCCAGAAAGAAAAGAGAAGAGAGAATGCCACAGTTTCCTGGGAACTGTTAATTGAAAATGCAGCAAATGGCGCCGATATTAGTACAATGATTTTAAGAGAGGGTTGTACACAAATATGGAGAAAAGAAAAACACATTTCCAGGAAACACCAACTTAAAACCAAATTGAAAAAATGAAGAAATTGAAAAGAATCAAATGAATAAAATGCAAAAAAAGCTTTTTTGCTTCAGGGGGAAAGTGTCTGAGGGGAAAATAGATTCTCCAAACTTACTGCTTTTTTGTTTTCCTTTTTTTCTTTTACTGTTGCTTTATTCAGTAGAGAGTGGCAAGTAGCCTACAGAACAGAGATGAGCACAATCATGGTCACAGCAGCAGCTACACACACACACACACACACACACACACACACAGCCCTAACCACTCCAGGTGTGCACACATTCACATCTAGTAAAACAGAAAAATCCAAACTGCTGTTAGAAGAGTGTTCATCACTGGTCAGGGACTTGAAGCGTGTCCATGCATGCGCTAGCGTGGTTTGACTTCAGCAGACTGTTTTAGTGTGTGTGTGTGTGTGTGTGTGTGTGTGGGCGCCTACACAGTTGCAAAAGGAAATCCAAGATGGAGAATGAGAAATCAAAGATTTCAACACATAGAAATATAAAACCCAGACCACTTTTATGGGGATGGGTATGAGTAGAAATTAAATCTTCCTTTCTTTTCACTGTAGTAAGGGCAAGGCAGCGGTAGCAGCAGAGTGAAACTGCCTGGACATTCAGGTGGCACAGACAGTCAAAGTGAGAGTGCAGAGGAAAGTGTATGTGTGCACTGAAGTTGGACTAGAGCACCATTTGCTAGACATATTTGGTGATACAGGCCAGTCAGCTGTCACTCTCCCATGTTGTGACCACACCTAAGCCATCGTTAGATTTGGGCTGAAGCAGAGGGATAACTGGAAAGGCTTATGCAGAGCTGCCAAATTTGGATGTTTTCTGCAAAAAGAAGACATGCTGATGGACAGAGAAAGAGTAAGGTGTGAGGGACACGTGCCCTGACAGGGCAACCCTCTGCCTGTTACATGCTGTCTGTGAGCTCAATACACAGCAGCAAATGGGAAGCCAATGGTAGTTATAGTTATCACAGTCATTGTTAGACATAACATCAGTCACATTTCAGTGGTCTAGTGTTAGCTCGTTTGTGTTCAGAACATCGAGCAACTTTATTTAAAATGGCCCCAGAAAGTTAGTGATGGGGATCTCCAGTCCTTTTGTAGAAGGTTTAAAACCTAACCTGCTCCTTTGGTATCACTGCTTATAACCTGAAGAATGTGTCGCCAATGCAGTTTAATGCTATGCTAGTACTATATATCTGCCCAAATCTCTCCAATGTCCATTATCAACATACAAGCAGAATGAATCCTGCTACAAAATTATCTGATCAGCTGAAACCATGGCAGTGCAAAGGGTTAGGTGTGGCCATAGTGAGATTTTTTCTGACACTAATCTTTGCCAATAGTCTATAAAAGCTGGACTGAGCCTGTCTTACCCCAGGTGAACTTGTTTTTCTTCAACCACAGCCATATTTAACTAGCTTTTGTCACTGTCACTATGATAATATTAGTAATAACCATGTATCAACATGGGAGCCCCTCTCTGGACATGATGTGTACATCACAACATGTGATCACAGGCTTCTGCAGTTACACCTGCCTGTTTCATGTATAAGGCCTTTTACTCTGAGAATGGAACTGCTGCTCACTGGGACCTGCATTAGTGTCACACAGAGCTCGGCTTACTGCTCAAATGAGCCCGTGTTGTGCCTGCCGGGTGGTCGGAATGCCCTTTTCTTTTTATCATTATTATTATTATTATTACATCTAGTTTTATTCTTGGTAGGGAAAATCAAGCCACGCTTCAACACAAACACTACACTGTGAAGACTACTTTCACAGTTCTGTGACTAGGGATTTTTAGTTTTTATTTTCACTATTGATAAAGAGATTTCTTAGGGGCTTAATTTAGATAGCAGGAAAGGGAAGGCAGGTTGGAGTTATAAGCTTTTCCCACAAGTGTGTGTTCACTGATCTCTCAGCTCTAGTTCTTTGCCTCTGTAACTGTCCTTCTTTATCCTGATTTATACTTCTGGGTCGAGTCTACTGATCCAAGCCAACCAATCACAGTTTCTGCGGTCTACATCGCTGCGACGTGTAGTTAAATTTTTCGGGAGGTGCACGTCAGGCGACGGCATAGATTCAATGGAGAAGTAGGCTTTAGGGTGAATGACAGTCAGGCGCCAGGCTTGCAGATATCGGTGTTCTCTGGGAAGCTTACATGACCTAACCTTACTGGCTCCTTTAGATTCCAAAGTGTCATAAGGAATGCATTGGAGCCTCAGCATCAGACAGATGGCTGCTCAGGTTTCAGGCCAGTCTCTTTAAACTTCGCTGTGTAAGACATCTGTCTCTGAAAACCTTCTTCCTCACACCTGACAGATGGCTCATAACATTTCTTCTCAGCTGCTGTTCTTACATTATGCTGTGAGTGTGTGTATTAGTATACATTAGTATGGGTCCAACTGGAAAGCAGCACTGTCTAACCATCATGATGGCAAAAGCTAGGAAAACAAGGGCCTGTTTTAGAATCCCAGTGTTGGTGTATGGGCCCAGTAGAATGTGTGTAGAGCTGAAAGGTATGTAGTGGTGCAGTGAGTGGAGAGGCAGCAGCTTGAGATAAGTGACAGTGCACACACACAGGTAAGGGCAGAGAAGCGGGGGGGGGGGGGGTCTACCTGGTAGAGACAGTGGCAGACACTGCGCAGCTGTGGGGGGAACTCGCTGGATGAACCGATGATGGCCTGGAAGAAGCGCTCCGTGATCTGCAGGAGGTTCCGCTGGTTCTCCTCCAGGTTCTCTCCTTGTTCCAGCCTGATGAGACAAACAAGGAGCTCCTGTCAGTGACGTCCAGGTGTAGACTTACAAAACTTCTCATCACTTATGATACAAACAATTACCCTAATAAGTAGGAATTCCAATCACAGTCTCAGTGCTGACTGCGCTGCTCCACACTGTTGCCTACCCACAATGCCCTCCCTCTAGTACTCAATCAGCTAATAGCGGGCCTCCAAAGGTGATGTGTCATGGCTGCAATCAAATCAGTCATCACATACCTTATCATAATTAAGACTACCCAACTTGCATTGTATCTAACGTTACATATGCGTCACTGTACTGAAGATATTTCCCTATGCACATGTATGCGTTGAAATGGTTTTGGTTTTCTGAAACAGAACACCTCACCTAAAAATGAAACAAATGTATTTTTCATGTTGTTTTTACAACTTTACATTCACTATAGCTCTGTTAAAAACTAATACATCAAAACAGGAAGATGTATTCATGCTGAATCCATCATGTCATAAAGTGAATGCCATCTTTTTCACATCAAAAACTTGTGACTGTACATTTCAGCTCAGATCCAAGTGAGTGGACCTTGCGTGGAGATCATTTTCTAACACATACTGATCCTGAAAAAGAATCACTCCTATACAAACGCGGTTTAAATTATTGGTAAATAGTATGTACTTGTACATCGCCCTTCTAGTCTTGAGTCTTCTTAGTCTATATAAAAAGAAACCGAGACACAGATCCTTCCCTCATGTCATAGTTTGCCCAGCAGAGGGCACTCTGCAGCTCCCGTATTGAAAACAGCAGGACACATCCACCACAAAACAAAACAATCAGCTGACCAGAGCAGAATTTAGAAATCCAGGATAACAGAAAAAGTGAGGCTGGACCTAGGGTATCCTGGCTTTATCTGTTTCACAAAGGCCAAACCAGGCTGATGAGGAGCGACTATGTCAAACAAGATGGAAGTAATTCAGATAAATGCATGTCAACAGCTTTATTCAAGAGACCAAACAGTCGATCACAGATTTATTGATCCTGGAATGGAAAACATGTGTGCAGTGTACTTTAAAAACAGTGAGAAACTGCGAATAAAGGTTCACGATGAAAAAAGCACATATTAAATAAAATAAACACAGCCGCAGTATTAAAACAGCAAGAAAAAGCGTGGCAGACAATAGAGGAGAGACTGAATACGTAAGTAGCTAAAAATATCACTGCTCTTAACTGAAACTATAATAATTATAATGTTACCATTCATGATAAGGTTCTGTCATAGTTTTAAAAGTTCAGTGTGTAAGTGATTTAGTGATATCTAGTGGTGAGGGTTGCAAATTGCAGTAAATGTAAAAAATGTAAATGCTCTGTATTTGTATAGCACCTTTCTAGTCTTTTCGACCACTCAAAGCGCTTTTACACTACATCTGCATTTACCAGTCATACACTGGTGGAACAGCCACTAGGGGCAATTTGGGGTTCAGTATCTTGCCCAAGGACACTTCGACATGCAGCCTGGAGGAGCCGAGATTGAACCACCGACCTTCTGATTAATGGGCAACCGGCTCTACCTCCTGAGCCACAGCTGCAAAGCTGTCTATTTCACAGTAATAAATATACAGTTGTCAATAAGATGGTGACCTGCATGAGAAATAAAGAAAAAGAAATTGGTTATGATAATCATCTACTTATAGTGATCAATCTGACCCAGACAGACGTGATCACAGCTTTAATGTATGGTGTCTGTGTTGAGCAGAGTGCCCTCTGCTGGTAACCGGTTCACAAACCTCTGCAGCCCTCTCAACTAATGTTGGAGTTGTGACCAAGCCTAAACACTTTCTAAGAATAAGAGCAAAATTGCACAAATGCCAGAATTATGTTACCATGGTATTACTGAATAGATACTACATGTTATCAGAGCAGAGATGCAGGTGCTTACCTCGTGGGGTCCACCTCAAAGCTGATGTGTTCATGGGTGGTGATGACCCCTCTTAATAAAGGCTCCAGTAGCTTCTGCAAGTATGCTGCACCATATACCTGCCATAAGACAATAGAAAATAAAGCCAGTAATGTACATACAACATGTCCATTTAGGCTGCCATTTTTTTAATTATTTCATGACAGAGGCATGCTGGGTTTTCTACCTTGAAACAGAAGGTCATTATTTTGCTGGCCAGGCTGTTTCCTCTGAAAAGAGTCTGCATGGAGTCGGCCAGCTCCACCTCTTTAGAGAACATGTTCCATAGCAGCTGGTAGAGGAGGTGGCGAGAATCAAACAGCGTCACCAGGACTCGGGCTAGCTCATCCTAAAAATACAACACGCGCACACAAGTGTTGGAAAATGTATGAATGCATTGTACACACTTTATTAGGTTCACCTGTTCATTTGCTTGTTAACCCAAATAGCTAATCAGCCAATCACATGGCAGCATTTAGGATGCAATGCATTTAGGCATGTAGACATGGTCAAGACAACTTGCTGAAGTTCAAACCGAGCATCAGAATGGGGAAGAAAGGGGATTTAATTGACTTTGAATGTGGCATGGTTGTTGGTGCCAGACGGGCTGGTCTGAGTATTTCAGAAACTGCTGTTCTACTGGGTTTTTCACACACAGCCATCTCTAGGGTTTAAAGAGAATGGCCCGAAAAAGTGAAAACATCCAGTGAGCGGCAGTTGTGTGGACGAAAATGCCTTGTTGATGTCAGAGGTCAGAGGAGAATGAGATGACAGAAAGGCAACAGTAACTCAAATAATGGAAAAATGTTGCCTGGTCTGATGAGTCTTAACTTCAGCTGCGACATTCAGATGGTAGGGTCAGAAACAACATGAAATAATGGGTCCATCCGCGCTGTATTCAGGCTGCTGGTGTTGGTGTAATGGTGTGGGGGATATTTTCTTGCACACTTTGGGCCCCTTAGTACCAACCGGGCTTCGTTTAAAGCGGCAGCCTTATTCAGTATTGTTGCTGACCATGTCCATCCCTTTATGACCACAGTGTACCATCTTCTGATGGCTACTTCCAACAGGATAATGCACCATGTCACAAAGCTCAAATCATCTCAAACTGGTTTCTTGAACATCACAATGAGTTCACCGCCTCCACAGGCACCAGATCCCAGTCCAACAGAGCACCCTTTGGGACATGGTGGAACAGGAGATTTGCATCATGGATGTCTCATGTGCATGACTATTTACACCACACATCGCTTCCCCGGAGTCTTCTTCTTCGCCCACCATGGCAATTCCCTGTTCGATTACCCTACATTTCTTCAGACAAACGCTCTGCTTGCCTATTTTCATACCACTTCTCAACGACAAACAGGATCCCCTCAATGTGGTCACAACGTATGTCCTCACAACTATTCACACAAATCTCTTCAACCTCCGTCCTCTCCCCTAGTCCTCCCAACAAATCCCAAAATAACGCCACCTGACACTGGCACTGCTCAACAATTGATCATTAAGTAATAAAACCCTCATCCTGAACAAATTCATCACCAACAATAAACTGGACTTCCTCAGAATCACAGAAGCCAGGCGAGCCAATGGAACTGGTAGATGAAAAAAATCCACCAGCCAAACATATTTTTCACTGGCAAAAATAATTACATGCCTTTTTATGTCATGTAAACATTCATTTCAGTACTTTTAAAGGTCCAGTGTGTAATATTTCTGAGGATCTATTGACAGAAATGTGATATAATATCCATGATTATGTTTTCAGTGGTGTATAAAGACCTTACATACGTACGTCGCTGTATTTTGTCGTAATGTTTCTACCATAGCCGACAACGGACAAACAGCACTACAGAGCGTGTTTCGTCATCACCGTGTTCTTCTTCTTCTTCTTGTATAATTCCGGCAGTGTCGACGCCCGTCAGTAGATTAAATGCATCCGTAGAAGAAGAAGAGGAAATAATAACAATAATAAACAGTCTCTGAGTAGTCTTCTGGTTTATTAGAAGTAAGAAGAGAAGTGATATTTGGACAAATGAACAAGGATACGTGTTGAAATGAAGCCAGACAGAGTCGGGACAGATGCAGACAGATGATGGCAAAAAATCACGGATGTGATTTTCCCAGATAGAAGGCTATAATGTGGGACAGATGTTTTCAAAGCGGTGCTGAAGTTGTATGTTTTCTGCTGGACAGGTAATTAACTTAAGTTTGTCAGACTTTAGCGATGCAAATGAAAGTTGTTGTTTGTTAGCTTTAGCTTGAAGCTAGCCCTAGTCACGAGAGACGTGAGGTGTTTCCCCTGTCAATATCTAACTTTGGATTAATTTCATGTCGCCTACTTATTCTCCAGCCTGTGGGTTGGCTTTGCCGATTACATTAGCGAGACAATCAGCTGATCAGTAAATAAAACTATAACGTTAGCTTAGAGCATGGAAGCATCAGCCAGCTGAACTTTTACCTTTTAACTCACCCAACCAGAGAAAGACATTCTGGCCAAAGGATTAAACTTTGCCATTACACCACAGCAACTACCTATATCACCTCATCACAGCTACAGAATCGGCCATTAGGAAAAAACAAATCAAACAGAAGCGGAACAGCTCAGACTAAAGGTATCTGCAGCCCTTTCTAATGCGAAGGCCCCCCTTCCAACCTCACCATCCAAGAAAGGAAGGCTGTGACATCTCTGAGCAAGGATCAAAACATCACTATCTTACCTGCTGACAAAGGAAGATGCACGGTAGTCCTTAACACAGTGGACTACCAGAACAAAGTCAACATACTACTAATGGACACAAACACATATGAGACACTGAGACGAGACCCAACCGGATTACCGGATACAAGAAAAAGGCCATAGAATGTCTACAACAGCTACAGAAGGACAACACCATCAACCGTGAACAATATTACCGTTTGTATCCTGGAGAAGCCATTCCAAGCATTTATGGACTACCCAAGATAAACAAAGACGGAGCCCCACTCAGGCCGATTATCAGCAGCATTAACTCAGTCACCTACAACATTGCCAAACACATTTCTACCATCTTAGCTCGTTTGGTGGGAAACACGCCTCACCACATCCAAAACTCTATTGACTTTGTAAACAAAGTTCAAGGACTAAAACTGGATGCAGATGAAACCATGGTATCCTATGACGTGACTTCTTTGTTCACCTGCATCCCCACCATAGAGGCAGTAGAAAGCGTTAGGAAACGGCTAACACAAGACAACACCCTGGACAACAGAACTAGCCTCAGCCCTGAATGTTTCACTTTCAGTGAAATACTCTGGTCAGCAACGCATCATCCGTCCTGAACCCGTCACGCTGCTTTTCTTCTTCTTGTTTTAATTGTGGGTGCTGCTGACTTCCCTTCACAGTTACAGAGATGTTCTACATGCTGACACCGGCTTTACTGGAGGGGAACATAGCTAACAGCGGGCACAAATAAACCGGAGAGGGGAAATATTTTAACGGGAGGACAACGGGAGAGAACAGTAAAATACGGGAGAAGCCCAGGGAAAACTGGAGGGTTGACAGATATGCACATTACTGTGGTAGCCAGCTAGCTAAATGCTAAAAACACTGCAGGTACTCCAAGCACGACTTGACGGCTCCCGGCTCAATCCCCTAAAGCCCACCCTCTCACATATCTACGCCAATCAGACACAAGTAACCTGAAATGAACATAAACAACAACCAATGAACCTCCCTAATCCGTCTGTTACACGATTGTGGATCCCTTGGTACAGTGGGGACCAACACACAACAAAAACAATGCTGATCTGCTGTTGGATACTTGTTACTGTTGGAAAAAGCTATTATATGACGATATCATACCGAATACGTTTACCCGCCAATGTGGCGGGTAGCCTTCCAACATTTAGCTGCCAAACGGAAAATCTACCCGCACGTGGTGCTTGGCGGGTGTTCATTTCCACCCCTGTGTGCATGTAAAGGCAGGCAACCCAAAACTTTTGACAATATAGTGTATATATTATATAGTGATGGGAAAAGTCACTATTTTGAAAGACTTGAGTCACCAAATCTCATTTATTAAAATTAACTAATCTTTTTTTGTCATTTCGTTCATTTTAACTAGGCTGGTTATTGCGGCGCTGCAGCCTTCTAGTGGGCGATTTTTAAAAAAACAGCGCAGTTCTCAAACACAGAAGGCTGCCTTGCTCTAATTGACAAAGTATAATGCACAAATTCACCTCTTGATCTTTCTCTATCATGGTTCTATAAAGCCCCATGGAGCCACAACCAAATTCAAACCATGTAAAAACCACAGAAATATGTTGTCAATATTATTATCGATTAAGCCACTAATCTGTCCATTTTCACAATCTTTCCTGAGTATACAACCAGACCAGCCATATATATATACACACAGGTGCTGGTCATATAATTAGAATATCATCAAAAAGTTGATTTATTTCAGTAATTCCATTCAGAAAGTGAAACTTGGATATTATATTCATTCATTCATTGATTCCACACAGACTGATATATTTCAAATGTTTATTTCATTTAATTGTGGATGCAGTCCACTCTTTGTGAATCTCCCCCACATTTTTGAATGGGATTTGTTTCACAATCCTCTCCAGGGTGCGGTTATCCCTATTGCTTGTACACTTTTTTCTACCACATCTTTTCCTTCCCTTTGCCTCTCTGTTAATGTGCTTGGACACAGCGCTCTGTGAACAGCCAGCCTCTTTAGCAATGACCTTTTGTGTCTTGCCCTCCTTTGCAAGGTGTCAATGGTCGTGTTTTGGACAGCTGTCAAGTCAGCAGTCTTCCCCATGATTGTGTAGCCTACAGAACTAGACTGAGAGACCATTTAAAGGCCTTTGCAGGTGTTTTGAGTTAATTAGCTTATTAGAGTGTGGCACCAGGTGTCTTCAATATTGAACCTTTTCACAATATTCTAATTTACTGAGATACTGATTTTGGGGTTTTCGTTAGTTGTCAGTTATAATCATCAAAATTAAAAGGAATGAACACTTGAAATATATCAGTCAGTGTGGACTGAATGTATACATTATACAAGTTTCACTTTTTGAATGGAATTACTGAAATAAATCAACTTTTTGATGATATACTAATTATATGACCAGCACCTGTATATAATTGATTGATTGATTGATTTTTATTTAGAAGGGACCATGTGCAATTAATAACATAAATGTAAACATTTGATGCATTACACCAGAGTTAGCCTTAGGCTAATTTACATACATACCAATTATAATTACTATCACTATATCTCTAAAGTGCTCATTCATACAGTAACGCCTATCCATGAGTAAAATCTATATATTAACATCAGATTTACAGGGAATATATTGAAGTAATAAGCCTGACACACTAGATGAATAAAACACACTCTTATTAAAATTTAACAAATTTAATAATGATCTCAAACACTGCAGGTTGTTCACCAGTGAGGAGCTGTGAAACAACAGCACAGCTCTGTCGATAAGTAAAAAGTAAAAGTTAAGTTGCGTTCTCCGGCGGACCGGATCAGCTGTTAGCTGTAAACAAACCACAGGGCTAACGCTAACGTTGCTATGTGGCTGTGTTTTAATGGCTTAATGTCCGGGTCTGTTTGCTTTGGAGAGGAGACTACCTCTGTGGTAATTCAGCTCCCGGCAGAACTGTGTCAGAGCTCTGAAGTGGAGCGGACCCAGAACAACTCTCATCAGCTGTTGGCTGTAAACACTAGCAGAACTAAAGTTACGGTGCAGCTGTGTTAAAACTATAACTTAGCACAACATAACTGCGCTGTAATAACGTTATGCTTTATAAAATGTCACAAAATTATCAAAATAGATATTAGATATATGTCAGTCCAGTGACTGTTACCTGACAATAGACTTGCCTCTCATTCCCCGGTGCAGGCAGGAAGTCAGACTCCGAGGAGGACCCATGTGAGCGCTGAACGATTAGTTCATTCCTGCTCCACAGTAGCCGAGATGTCACGTGAAAACTCAAACCCAGAGACCCACAGTTGAGAGTCGTGAACTAATCATTTCTGTTTCCTGTGCTGACGGAGACCTTGCAGCTGCTGTGTAACGAGTGAACGTAAGAGTCTAAGACTATTCACGCATGCGTGAAAATGAACGAATTACTCACTGAGACAACCCGTTCCTCCTGAGTCACATACAAGATTAGGTCAAATGAACGAAACGTTCTTTGAATGACACAACACTAATATTATACCCACTGTCAATGCAATGTTTGAAACTAATCCTAAATGAAGAAGAGTTACGCACCCACTGGGACCCAGGAACCACATTAGCCAGTGCCATGGCGATGGGCAGCTCTCCCTGGTCTCCCATCATGGTGACCAGCTCCACCAGCCTCTCAAAGCGATCAGCCAGAACTGTCTCTGCCAGCGTGTCAAACTCTGTTCCCTGCTGCAGGATCTTGGTCAGCACTTCCATGAAGGTGGCTCTAGTCTGCAGGTCCTTGTGGTAACCAAGACCTTAGGAGAAAGAAATGAACACTGGAACTCATGGAAAACACTGTTGGTAATGTCTATGTACATTTTTCAGTTGCGATGTGTGATGCTGTGGCTGACCTACCGATGGAGTGCATGAGGCCGCTGTCTACGTTAGCATTGAGCAGGTTGGACATGGCCAGGACAGTGCAGTGTCGAAGGGAGGCCAGGCGGCGGGACATTCCTCTCTTTCGTCCCCCCACTGCTTGGCCCTCATCCTCCACCTCACTGCAGTCATTCAGCAAGTTCATGAACAGGGTGAAGTACCTGCACAGCACCACAAACATAAGCTCATTTATTAGAAAAGGTCTTTTGCCCCCAGTACAATATATTCAAAGGCTTTGACACATTCATAATGCTTCAGTCATCCAACCGGACCACACGCTGGAGTGTGTTCTCAGATGATCATGACTTGAGTCTTAGGAGTACTACTGATAATCTTGTGGAGTGCAGGGCAGGCTGGATGGACAACCTGCCTGTATACCCTCATAAAGGATGTTGCCCACAAATGTTGAGTATAAAGCCATCATCATGAAGAGCCAACAGAAGGCTGGATGCTCAGACCGAGCACTCCACATCACACCACCACGGTGTGGAACAGAGGATCCTGGAGCTTATTTTTATGCCACGTCCTGCGCTGTGAGCATTTCTTCTGACAAATAAAGTCACCTCTTTCTTTTTAATTAAATTTGAGGACCATCAGGTGCACATTTTAGACAGAGAAGATGGATGGTTTGAAAGAGGTGTCAAGTAAGCCATCTACACCCGGTTTGAGAAGCCGTCGCTGAACAGAGGAGGGGGTCTACGCCACCACTTATCCCCCACTTTACAATGCAGTCCTATCATCACTTCCCAGGAAACTCAACAAACGTAACCTCTTGGCCTCAAGTGAAGATGCCAACGATGGTCGTTCAGACTTGGCCTCAGGTAGCACTAACGACCATAACGACTGTCGTTACAACAGCCAGGAACACCAACGAACCAGCGGTATTGACGATCCTGGCAAACGACCCCACTGAGGTTAAATAGCTGAGTTTCCCTGCCAGTCAGTCAGAACTGAAGAAGTCCTTTGGATGAGGGACAAAACGTCTTCCAGTATCTTCAACCAAGTCCAGTTGCCCTAGACTTTAACCTTCTTTGGATAACTATGACCTGGATGACTGAGAATCTTCAAAGACGTACAATATATTCATTTCAAGACATGTTAAAGAGGCAATTTGTAGTTTTTTAATGAAGTTACTTATCAATAAATAACTTTTTTATTGCCTATATAAAAATATACCACACACCTGCTTTCTCTGTCCCTTGGAACAACCACTATTGTGCCTCCTATGTAAAGGAATCGGGTCGGATTTTCAGCATGTGCACTCACGAGCCTCTTGCCTACTGATTCTGAACTGGACACACAGCAACAACACTGCAGCTAATGAGATGGAGGACCTCAACCGACAAAACCGACAGAGTTGGCTTTCATCGTGTTGGACAGGTAAACTAACACTACCGCTAAGCATGTGAAACATACTGTGGTGATGACATTGACTCAAGTCAGATAACATTACTTTCCACATTACTTTACCAGCTAACAATCCATGTCACAATCCTGTGTACCACCAGTATTGGGTCAAAGTGTTGATTTTAGCCTGCAAGAACTGATGTAATGGTACAAAGCAAATGTGGAGCGGTTTGTTTTTACAAGCCTATGGTGATGCTAGACAGGGTCAGCCAGCTAACGTTACATTAGCATGGATCTGCTCTTCTCCCTCTGCACAAACAACTGCACCTCAGGAGACCCGTCTGTCAAACTCCTGAAGTTTGCTGACGACACAACGGTCATCGGCCTCACTCTCACAACTGTGGAGATCAGTGGAGGAACCTCCCTACTCTGCCCTCCATACTCAACAGTCCTGTGTATGCTGTGGAAACCTACAACACAGACCAACACGGACACCATCATCAAGAAGGCCCAGCAGAGGATGTACTTCCTGTGCCAGCTCAGGAAGCTCAACCTGCCTAAGGAGCTGCTGATCCAGTTCTACACAGCCATCATCCAGTCTGTTCTCTGCACGTCCATCACTGCCTGGTTTGGATCTGCCACCAAAAAGGACAGGAGCAGACTACAACAGACAGTCAGGACTGCAGAAAAGATCATCGGTGCCAACCTGCCCTCCATTCAAGACTTATACATTTCCAGAGTCAGGAAACGGACACGAAACATCACTGCAGATCCATCTCACCCCGGACACAACCTGTTCCAGCTCCTCCCCTCTGGTAGGCGCTACAGAGCACTGTACGCCAAAAACAACAGACTCAGGAACAGTTTCTTCCACAAGCCATCACTCTGATGAACAGGAAACTCCAGACACACAGTGTCAGGAACAAATCCTGTGCAATAACCCAGTGACTCTAACATCTACCTGTTTACTGCTTGCAATTTATTCATCACTGAAGTAATTCAGTAGCTCTTCATATTGTATATACTGTATAAATCAAATCCACCTACCTCATGTCCATAATTATACCTGCACAAACATATTAATCCCAGCTTCCTTTGCACTCCACTACACTACACATTTGTCTTGCAGTCTACAACATATATGCATACATATATACAACATGTTGTTGTTTTAGAACTATGTGTGTACTGTCCACTGTAGTTTGTGTCTGTTTTTGCTGAGGTTGTTGTCCTGTTTGGCTATGATTGTTCTCTGTCTGTACATTTAAAACAATGTAAGACCAGAGTCATATTCCCTCAGAAGCTCCCCATCTCTCAAGACATCACAATATTCAGATGTTTTTCAATATGAGGGACGTGTCCTGATACAGACTGAGGGTGTGCTGAATATTTACATCTCTTCATTAATGAGACATCTTGTTAAGATTAAGTGCAGATATGTTCTTACTTGAGGAAGAGCTGCGATTTGGCCTCCATAAGTTCTACTCCGTCTCCCTCCTCTGGCTGCAGAGGAAGACCAGCTAACAGAGACACTACTGCCTCCATACTGGCCTGGTCCAGATCCCTGTGCGTGCGCACGCACACACACACACACACACACACACACACACACACACACACGAGAAAACAGTGAGGAGGAAGCTCTCCCAGCTCTTTACGATGCATTAGCTGAGCTCATTGAACAGAGCTGCACCTTGTCAGACACTTGATGTCATCATCAGCAGCTTGGTTGGAGGTTCCCATCACCCAGTCTGTCAGGTACTCCACCATCTTGTTCCTACAAACAGCAAATGAAGACAACAGCCTGAGTGAAAGTTCCACAAAGGAGCATGGAGAAAGAAATGAGCATCTGAAGAACAAGGTTTTTAGGTTTGGGGTTACATTATCCCCCTTTGACGTTGTTTCACATGTCTATGTCCTGCTCAGTTTTAAGGCCCACTAAACACACCTCTAAAAAGAGGTGGCTTCATCACTGACCAGCAAAAATCCAGAATGATGTGTGAATACCTAACGATAACCTGTTGTCACAGACCTGAACTTCATTTCCTGGCAGAAGGACAGGTCATCTCGTCTCTCCATCATCACCTCCACCAGCTGGCACAGCTTGGTTTTGATCTGGATCGCATGAACCACGTTTCCCAGGATGCGCACATACCTGAAGGATCATACAGGTCAATACAAAAAATGATTAGCTAATTCTCAACACACACTGACAACCAAAAACAATTTGAGGAAGCCTTTTAATTCTCCCGCTTTCTTACAGTGCATGCTTTTGCATTCTTTTGCTGAAACTCTCTTTTTTTTCTGCTAGAAATTATGAGCAGCGGCTCTTGGATACTTTTAAATCACTGGGACTGTCAGATAAAGCTGGCTCTTGCCATACTTTAAACATGCGAGTGCGGCCTATCAATAGCACTAGCCTGTACTGCAGTGACTGGAGTTGTAGCTAATGCTAATTAGCAACAAGATGCCCCCCCCCGTCTCCACGGACAACTTCCACTCTAAAGAAAATTACTGTGCTGGAAACCAAAATCCACAGGTTAGAAGTAAATGCGGAAGTGAATGGACTATTTGGGAATGACACTACTTTACCACTACTTTACCGTGGACCCAAAACAGTGGACAAGAGCATGCTAACACACACCTAATTAGCACCAACAAGACAACCAAGAAGCAGGAGGCCTGTGTACTGGGCAATAAATCTGAAAGTGGGAGTTCTTCCTGGAACGCTCTTGGTGCAAAGCCTAAGAGTAAATCATTTCCTTGGGAAATGGGAGGACGAGTAACAGGCAGAACCCAGCGCCCTGAGATTTGTGATGCGACTGGCTGGCCTGCATTATCATCCAGGCAGAGCGCCTCTTCAACCCCTGTTCTTGGTAGGACACAACCGTGGACAGCTGCGAAAGGGAGAGTTAGCAACAAACCTCCCCAACAACCGAGTGTGCAACAGCAGAACAGATTTTCACCACTATTGCAGGACCCTGGATGTCCGTCTGATGACCTGGATAACATCCCGTCCTCACACAGAAGGGTAAGGACTGAGAGTAAATCTGTAAAAGTAAAACTGCAGCCTTTTACTTTCTGATTTACTCTCAGTCCTTACCCTCTAAATCTAACGACTGGGCCTCAAACTCTGATTGTGGGTGACTCTGCTGTAAACGATGTAAGAAGCATGCGCAGTAACAACACCAAAATACTCTGCTTTCCGAAGGATACAGTGTCTGACTTGGCAGAAAGAATCCTGCATATCGTGGCTGAACATCCTCCTGTGAAAAACATCATACTGCACATCAGGACCAATGATGTTGTGATGCAACAGTCTGAAGTGTTGAAAGAGGACTTTAATAATCTGTTGAACAAAGGTGTTTATCAGTGGCCCTATACCGCCGATCCAAAGAGGAGCTGAGAGATTCAGCAGATTGATGGCACTGAACACGTGGCTCTCAACAGCATAATTGTGGTTTAAATTTTTCTTAATGTCAACACTTGAGGCCAAACAGTGGATTACTTAGCAAATCTGAGGTAGAACATTCAAAACAATTATGATAAAATCTTTGTCAACAAATACACACGAGTTAAATTAAGTAAAAGATTTGATTAATTAAGTCCTTTTTCCGCAACAAAATAAACATCAACAAAAAATCTAAGTCCTAATTCATGTATGATTCAAGTGAATAAAGTCAAACATTTCTTGAACATTTGTTATATTGTTACTGAAAAATACACTATTTGTGTATCTTTCACTGGAGGCTCAGCAAGGTGAGCACAGCTACATGTATTGGATGATAACATAACCGTTAGTAAGCTGGACTGATTATAAATGAGATGGTTGTCACACTTAGACACACTTGTCAACAGTTGGACCGCATTAGGAACTTTACTGTAACGTTAGTTGATGGCTCTTCTACTGTGGTGTTGTCCTTCTCCAAAGTTGCATTATTGTATATTATATGGGTCACATAATACAGTGACTGAGATGGTGGAGAAGCTGTGTACCCGAGTATCTGTAAAACTGCAATAAATCTAAATTGAATGTTCCAAAGCATTGAGCAGTGGATCTGTGCTAAAGTAGCTGGCAGTTCGCTGTAGTCAGAGAGAGGCTTGGGAGCACACACATGTCTAACATGCCGACCCGGAGCATTCTCATTAAAAGAAGAATAGTGGCTGTTCCAAGAAAAAGAGAAAACACGTGTGTGTTTCCTTTCTAAGAGAGGCTACGGCTCATTGACAATAAGGCAGTGAAATTGTAATTTTTTAGGTAATTTCACTGAAAAACTACATACAGCCCCTTTAAAACATTGTGAATGGCGTGTTCAATGCTTTGCCATGAAACACAAAGTTGTTGTAACTTCAGTGTACATGCTCACATCTGTACCAAACTTTACATGTTTGATGACAGTCCCCCCTGAACACATCTACATGCCACTATTTAGGAACGAAGTCCCGTTTAACATCCTTTGTGCAGCGTCCAGAATGTGTGACGATTCAGAGCTGCGGCAGCGCAACCGTAGCACCCCCCGAAGCACATCACAGCGCGAGGGCGCGTTCAACACTGCTTGCAGCTTAAATTTTCTGGTTATTTTTTCACTTTAGTATGTGACTATTTTTTCAGCATGCTTTTTATTGCTCTAGCATTGACCGTGTGTTAGGGTCTTCACGCCATCCTCCACACCCCCGAAGCCATGTTTCAATATGTTTACACACAGACACAAAGAATGTTATCCATTCAGAGATCACATGTTGAACGTGGAAGACATAGAATAGTGGCTTATGGCTAGTTTTGCTAACATGTAATGGCTCATGACAGGTTAGCCAGATGATATGCAAGCTATTTTCGAGCTACAAGGGGTGTCACTGCCCCATCTAAATGTGTCATTTCCAACAGTACTCTGGCATCTGGAAAAGGTTCCACCCGTCACTACAGGGTGCGCCAAAGCACTACAACAGAAATTTGGACACATGTTGTAGCAGTCTCCCGCCAGAGCCATTCAGTACTCAAATTCCACTCAGACAGTACTGGGCCATGGGAGAAGTACTACAACCCCAATTCCAATGAAGTTGGGACATTGTGTAAAACGTAAATAAAACCAGACTACATTCATTTGAAAATCCTTTTCAACTTATATTTAATTAATACACTACAAAGACAAGATGTTTAATGTTCAAACTGATAAACTTTATAGTTTTTTGCAAATATTCACTCACTCTGAATTTGATGCCTGCAACATGTTCCAAAAAAGCTGGGACAGGGGCAACACAAGACTGGGAAAGACACCTGTTTGGAAAATTCCACAGGTAAACAGGTTAATTGGAAACAGGTGAGTGTCATGTTTGGGTATAAAAGGAGCATCCCCGAAAGGCTCAGTCATTCACAAGTAAGGATGGGGCGAGGTTCACCACTTTGTGAACAACTGCACGAGCAACAGTTTAAGAACAACGCTTCTCAACGTACAATTGCAAGCATTTAGGGATTTCATCATCTACGGTCCATAATATCATCAAAAGATTCAGAGACTCTGGAGAAATCTCTGCTTCAAGGCCGAAAACCATCATTGAATGCCCGTGACCTTCGATCCCTCAGGCGGAACTGCATTAAAAACCGACATCAACGAAAAGGGTATGGGCTCAGGAATGTAAATGTAAATGCTCCGTACTTGTATAGCGCCTTTCTGGTCTTTCCGACTACTCAAAGCGCTTTTACACTACATCTGCATTCACCAGTCACACACATTCATACACTGAGCCTAAGTGCTCAAATGGAAACTAACATTCACACTCTAGCACTCTAGCATACTCATACACGGTGGAATAGCCGCCAGGGGCAATTCGGGGTTCAGTATCTTGCCCAAGGACACTTCGACACGCAGGGGGAGCCAGGGACTGAACAGCCGACCTTCCGATTAACGGCCAACCCGCTCTACCTCCTGAGCCACAGCCGCCCCAAGGAACACTTCAGAAAACCATTGTCAGTCAACACAGTTTGTTGCTACATCAACAAGTGCAAGTTAAAACTCACCATGCAAAGCAAAAGCTATATATCAACAACACCGCCGGCTTCTCTGGGCCCGAGCTCATTTTTTCTCATGTTTTTGGAAATTATAAACGTCGTGTCCTCCGGGCCAAAGAGGAAAAGGACCATCCGGACTGTTATCAGTAAGTTCAAAAGCCAGCATCTGTGATGGTATGGGGGTGTGTTAGTGCCCATGGCATGGGTAACTTGCACATCTGTGAAGGCCCCATTAATGCTGAAAGGTACATACAGGTTTTGGAGCAACATATGCTGCCATCCAAGCAACGTCTTTTTCAGGGACGTTCCTGTTTATTTCAGCAAGACAATGCCAAGCCACATTCTGCACGTGTTACAACAGTGTGGCTTTGTAGTAAAAGAGTGCGGGTACTAGACTGGCCTCTCCCATTGAAAATGTGTTGCGCAAAATACAACAACGGAGACCCTGGACCCTGTTTTGGAACTTATTGCAGGCATCAAATTCAAAGTGAGTTAATATTTGCAAAAAACAATAAATAAAATTAAATATAATAATAAAAAATTAAATATCTTGTCTTTGTGGTGTATTCAATTGAACATAGGTTGAAAAGGATTTGCAAATCATTGTATTCCGTTTTTATGTTTTTACACAACGTCTCAACTGGGGTTGTACAAGGGGTAGCAGGGGGTACTGACCTGACCAGGTTGAGCATCATGGTCTCGATGCTGGCCTGTCCCAGGTGTTCAGAGCTGCCCTCTGTGTGGTTATCTAACAGGTTCTTCATGATGGCTATGGTCTGCTCCACAAACTGGGTGTTAGTATCGTTAATAGGAACCTGGAAACAGAAGAACCACATACATTGCAGAGAGAAAGATAACGAGGATAAAATACACAATCACCAGCCACCAACAACACTTAATGTGACAAAAATACAGCAGGGCCTTTTTGGTTTTTTGGGGGGTTTTTTTAGAGGTACTACTCAGACATTATTCTAGAGCATGTTACCAGGATGAAACTCCTTTAATCAGTGTTTTTAATGTTTTAATAACTGTGCTCATTTCTTTTGGAGAGGAGACAGCCACGGTAATAATAATAAACCTCAACAGAGGTGATACCAAAAAAGTACCAGGTACCATTTTCCCCAATGGAAAACAAAAAAAGGAATAAGAGGCGAGGCGAGTCGGTACCATGTGATGGAAAGGGGCAAAAGACATGCCGTTACAAGCTTAAAGATGAATTCTAACTAATAAAAAAAATGACCAAAGTTTAAGCCATGACATGATGATATGGAGGACCAGAGGGCAAATATTGTCCCAAAAACCCCCAGATTCATTTCAATTTTAGAATACATCATTTATACCTGAATGACTACTTTTTTAAAGGTCCAGTGTGTAATATTTCTGAGGATCTATTGACAGAAATGTAATTTAATATCCATGACTATGTTTTCCAGTGGTGTATAAAGACCTTACATAATGGACAGTTATTTTATCTACATAACCGCGGGCACCCCCTTCCATGGAGGTCGCTGTATTTTGTCGTCATGTTTCTACCATAGCCGACAACGGACAAACAGCACTACAGAGCGTGTTTCGTCACCGTGTTCTTCTTCTTGTATAATTCCGGCAGTGTCGACGCCCATCACTACATTAAATGCGTCCGCAGAAGAAGAAGAGGAAATAATAACAATAATAAACAGTCTCTGAGTAGTCTTCTGGTTTATTAGAAGTAACAAGAGAAGTGAAATTTGGACAAATGAACAAGCATACGTGTTATTTAGCACGAGAGCAGACAGCCTAATTTCATGTCGCCTACTTATTCTCCAGCCTGTGGGTTGGCTTTGCCGGTTACGTTAGCGAGACAATCAGCTGATCAGTAAATAAAACCGTAACGTTAGCTTAGAGCATGGAAGCATCAGCCAGCTGAACTTTTACTGCCCTGGTAGAAAAATCACGTAAGGTTACTTGCATTGGTTTATTCTCCAGCGCTGGCTTTGGCTTGTGGTGTAAAATATGTAGTTTCATTAATTTCATGTAGTGACTCTCTCTCCAGAGCTCTGTTTTGGTTTTGTCAGTTACGTTCTTGATACAATCAGCTGATCACTAATTGGCAATGAAACGGTAGCTTACAGCTGTCTAGTTTAGACAGCTAAACTTTTACTGCACTGGTAGAAAAAATATGTAGTTGGATTGTAATTTAATGTAGTTCTTCTCCAGCCTCTGTTATGGCTTTGTTACGTGGACAGAAATGTGTCCTTACCTTCCTGAGAAAGATGATAAATATTATTGGCAATAAAACAGCAGGGAAGCTCAGATCAGCAGCTAAACTTCACATTTTACTGCCCTGGTGGAAAACATGTATTTCTTTTTACTGCTAATGGTGATATAAAACAAGACCGTGTGTCTATCAAGTGACCAATAATGAATACTTTCAGAATTTGCATTATATTGTTATTGGATATTGCTTCCCACTGTGCACACAAATGTGTAATTTGTTCTTTCACATGCTAAATGCCCATTAAAAAACGTTGCACCGTTTTACCACAAGCTGAAATTATGGCTGTCAGTGCTACTTTGTGTTTCTATTGCATTATAAAAAAATAAAAAAGACATGTTGGTATGTTTTGCAGATTGCTTATCTAATCAAGCAAAGCCAGAGGAGCCTTGATCCTCACCTGACTATGCCTTTGTAAACTTCATGTATTATGTAGTTTTAATGGACTGTGGTGCAGAAACAGTGAGGCTTACATCGTCCCGTTATCTGTCAGTGGTCATACTTGATGCACTAGATGTGATAGTGTTTGAGATGTTCTTCATTTTCTTTGGTTTGTTAGTCCAGATGAGCCAACCCTCCCAAGTTGTAAAATACTGTATTACAGGCGTATGAGTTGGGATGGGGATCATTCATTTTTATTGATACCCTTATTGAGACTGCTTAACGATCCGATTCTTTATCGATACTTTACTATTATTTAGTGATGGTTATTTGGTAAGACCAGACCCAACGGGCATGAGGTAGGCCTGCAGGTTATGAGGAAAATATTCCTTATACCTTACAGACAGGTGTATTGATAAAGTATTGTCTTTTTACTTGCGAAGGTTTTATTGCACGTACTTACAGTAACGAGCGTAGCTGTCATCAACTAACGTTACAGTAGTTTGGAGCTAACTTCACCCTCACCGTATTCCACTGCGACAGCGCAGCCTCTCGCTCTGCTGCCACTCTGTGCGTGTGTGTGTGTGTAGCAGCCGACAGAGAGCAGGCAGAGACTGCAGTCTGATGATTTTGCGTTGCAAAATAAAACCGAATTGATGCTCGAGACATAACTTTACATCATAGGACCCGCAAGTCTCGATAGCAGTATTGATAAGCTCGAACCTTATTGATTTTCGGGTTTTGAGAAATTTTGGAACCGGGTGCTTTTGAAACTGGGTCTCGATCCCCATCCCTAAGTATGAGACATCATGTAGCACTTCATTTCTTGATGTGGCCGTTGTTTATTAAAGAAAAGGAACAATAATATTCAAAAAAATATTTGGTTTTACTGAATAATTAAGTAAATATAATTTCTTAATATATCTAGCTAAAGAAACCTGATTTCTTGACTGGTAACTCTCTATCTCATAGATTCAATTCAATTCAATTTTATTTATATTGTGCCAAATCACACAATCTCACAGTGCTTTTCATAAAAGAGCAGGTCTAGACCGTACCCTGTGATGTTATTTACAGAAGCCCAACAATTCCCACCAAGAGCAGCACTAGGCAACAGAGGCAAGGAAAAACTTCCTTTTAAGAGGCAGAAACCTCGAGCAGAACCATGGCTCAGGGTGGGCGGCCATCTGCCTCGACCGGTTGGGGGTGAGAGAGAGAGAGAGAGAGAGAGAGGGCGAGAGAGGGCAAGAGAGGGAGCGAGCGAGAGAGGGAGCGAGCAAGAGGGGGCGGGAGAGGAACAGAGAGAAAGAGAGAGGGATGGAAGGGGATAGAGAGGCAGATGACACCTTTGTCCTGTCTCAGGCCCCGTAGCTAAACTACTGGCTTGGATAAGGGAGGGGGGGTGCAATTCGCAACTCTCACCACTATATGTCACTAAAACTTACACACTGAACCTTTAATTGTTGTTCCAACACAGACATGTGAGATGGGGTTAATATGTGACCACCAACAATGTCTTTAATTTTCCTACACTCCTCAGGTCCACTTTTTCTACCCATCAGTACAAGCCCCTGTGAGTGAAAAGAACTGTAACATTATTACAAGCACTCCTATAGCACTACTCACCGGGCCCTGTGTGTCAAAGAACTTGCCAATGCTGTTTCTCAGCTTGTTGAACAGCATCGGGTAGAGGGCAGGGCTAAGCTCCAGACCCAGCAGGTCCTTTACGTTGGTGCGAACGTGGAGGCCGACCCTGTCATGGCCACATACCAGCAGGGCCAGCAGCCGGTCCAGAAAGCGGCTGACGGGCGTCTCGCTGGAGGCCGATGAGGAGCAAGAAGAGGCAGAGGCCACGGGGTTGGACACATCGCAGGGGCCCATGGAGATCATGGAGTGTTTGCGCTCGCTCATGGGGCCCATAGGTGGGCTATAGGTGGCTGGCCCAGGGGTGCTGCGCTGTTGGAGACATACACCGCCCAGAGCACACAGGAAGCCCGTCATGTTGATCCACTCCTGCTGTGGGGGGACACAGACACTGAGCGGCAGGAACACAACACCAGAGAATCCTCAATGCACAGGTTCACAAGACCAATTCAAAAATGTAGTCAAACGTATCCGAACTGTTGCCCATGTGAGAGTTCACTTTTGTTCTTCAGCCACATGGTTTAATCATCACAGAATGATTTTACAGCAGTCACTCAGAAGGCTTTGGCTGAGAAAATCTACAGCAACATAAAAACATCAGACATAAAGTCATAGTCGTAGTATCACTATAGGCTGCAGATTTTTACTGCATTTACCAGATATATGAACACACTCCCAAAGAGGTGAAGACAGGTCTCTGAACTGCCTCAACTAGAGCAGGGGTCCCCAAACCCCGGGTCATTTGGTACCGGGCTGCACAGAAAGAATAAATAACTTACATTATTTTTGTTTTTTGTTTTATTTATTATCTGAGTCTGAACGATGTTTTATTTTGAAAAATGACCGGACCCTTTTTACACATGGCAAGACGCTTGTCTCGGTCACGTGATACGTTACCGCTAAAAATAAACCCACAAGCTAGCAAAATGAGTAAAAAACAAACGTCTCTGGAAAGTTTCTTTGCGTAGGGGAAACGGCCCAATGAGGAGACAGAAGAAGAGCCTATGACTTCCAAGAAAAAGAAAGCTGCATTTAACAGACAGTCCTACTTGAAAAAATGGATTTATCGCAACAGGTGATATACACGCACCAAGCCCGCTCTGCATAATATGTGGTAACTAGCTCTCTAATGAGGCAATGAAGCCTTCAAAACTGCTTCGCCACTTGGAGACCAAGCACCCCGCATTAAAAGACAAGCCTTTTGAGTATTTTGAAAGAAAAAAGTGTGAACAGAACAGAAGCAATTACTGAGGGCCACCACATCAGTGCTGGTGGCAGCACATTTCAGTGACAGGAATGGGTCGCAAAACTCGCTTACTTATGCGACATATTCAACCTGCTCAATGAACTCAATCTGTCACTTCTGGGGAAAATGACAACAGCAGGCAGATAAAGTTGCTACATTTAAAGCCAAACTGGATTTGTGGGGATGGCGCGTGAACAGAGGTATATTTGACATGTTTCCAACATTGGTGGGCATTTTGGAAGAGACTGAGCCTGAGCCTTCGTTCTCCTGGCTGGTGCACGATCACCTGTCTTCGTTTTTAAAAGAGTTCGAGCGCTACTTCCCAACCACAAAATACCCACAAACTGCCAAGGAATGGATTCGCAACCCATTTGTCAACACACCAGGTGAATCCAGCATGTCGGTGCAAGAAGAAGATTGCTGGAGATCGCAAATGACGGCGGGCTTAAAAGTATGTTCGAGACAACAACTCTGCCGGTGTTCTTGATTAAAGTCATGGCAGAATACTCTGAGATCGCCACAACAGCACAGAAAACCTGTTGCCATTTCCGACATCCAATCTGTGTGAAGCGGGGCTTTCTGCAGTGACAGCAACCAAAACAAAATTACGGAGTAGACTGGACATAAGCAACACACTTCGGGTGTCATTGTCTCCCATTAGCCCTAGATGGTACCGTCTTGTTACAGAGAAACAGGCTCAGAACTCCCACTGATTCAGCGTTATGGTGAGTTGTATTTTGCATGCACTTTATATTTGTTTTTGTGGTGTATCTTATTTTGAAGCCATGTGTAAATGTTACCATAGTGACCAGAGAGTGTTAGGGGGCAGAGAGGTTTTTACTCATGTTATGGTGTTGGCACGATGTTACGAGGATGCTGCTAATTGCTAAAGTTGCGAGTAGGCCTACACATTGGATTCACGCTTATTATTATTATATTTAAAAATACCCCAGTTTTTATGTCAGTCGTATCATTTTATTTTGTTGTATTTATCTGCCACACCTTAAAGGCTGGTCCGTGAAAATATTGTCTGATATTAAATCGGTCTGTGGCGGAAAAAAGGTTGGGGACCGCTGAACTAGAGGACCCCAGGTCAAAAAGTCTTAATATGGGCTCTAGCCCTTATTAGTTATTATAGTCCTCTGGGCTTTGCTTGGCTGTTAACTTTCCAGCCTTATATGATGGCACCCCCATCTGGCCAGTTGAGGTAATTTCTTTGAACACAGAGCAAGTTTCAGCTAAAATCAGACCAGTGCCATCTGAGCTATCACATTTGATCACAACTCCATCACTTAAAGGTACACAAGCCTACCTGTCCATCATCTGCCTTGTTTTTGGGGAAGTTGAGAATCTGTTTGGTGGCCTGGTCCCACTTAGCATATGTGTCCTCCCAAGCCTGAAGGTAGAACCAACAGACAAGTCCATGGGTTTGAATTCGACGTTTGGTTCACTTGCTGTGAGGTTTTTCACAGAAATAAAGATTTTTTTCCAGGAAACGTTTCCAGTTCCATGTCATTTAGAGAATCAGACACTGTGCTAACTCATTTCTATAACAAATATGATTTATTTTCTTCATTTTGTTTGATCAATTAAAAAGATTTATTTTAATATCATGTGTGTAACTCAGATGCAATCTCAATTAACAGTGATCAATGACGGTGAATAATTTAAAGAAAGTATAACACCTCCTGCATTATGAACTGAATTTCACCTCAATGTTGCCTGGTGTGGGATGCTCTACCCTCCTCAGCAGTGCCATCACCCTCTTCTGCAAGGTGGACCTCCCTGTGGAAATGAGAGACAAACTGTTAGTGGATAAACAGTTAAATAAAGTCCTTCTAGGCAAGTCCTGCCATTCGGCCGCCATCTTGGCAACGCCTCCATGCAGCCATTTCGGACTAACAAGACCAGGCCCCTGTCTGAATGAATGGGGAGAGAGCCAGAACTGCACTTTCTCTGCTCACCGGGACATAAAAACTACATGAATAGAATCAGCATTAAAATCTGATAAAAATCGCTGAAAGAGTTTGACAACTTTACCCCAAAATAAGGTTTGAAAACGTTTTTTCCCCGACCGATTATACTTCTACTACGCATGCATCACCTCTTACACAAATGCGTAAGTAAAACAGACCCTTATGTCAGTGGCACCACACGATTGGCTGAAATACGTTTCCCACTTTGGCTGTTAAAAGCAGACGAATGGCTTTCTAGCGGGAGGGGAGGGATAACTGCCATCTTTGCAGTTACGGGCTTTCCCCATAGAGTTGTTTTGAGGATGTGAGTTGCGTGTCTCCTCTAAAACGTCTCTGGTATTACTGAGCTCTCCAACCTGGTCTTCTCAACCACTGAGAATGCACCTTAGTAAAAAGCAGTTTTCCCAGTTGGCAAGTCCAGGGGCTAGGGCTCATTTTACCTGTAGGCATCCCGTTCTATTTTGGTTCCCTGCCTCTGTCGTCTGTCAACAGAAACTGTATGACCCTTTTAGGCATGAGAGTTTTATGTCCTTCCAACAATTACAGACAGAGATTTTAACTTCTTTTGGTATCTGCAGGACGTTTTATCTATCTTTGGGGTCTGCACTACAGCTTGACAGAAAAATTATTAAACACTAACCCAGTGCAAATGTTTGTAGTAGACAATTCATGTAGCTAATCTCCTTCCTTAGATCACATCGCGCTGCAGGGGGAAGAAGAAGCAAGCTCACAAATATTAGGAATGTTATGGTAAATGGACTGCATTTATACTGTTTTCTGGTCTACTAAACACTCAAAGTGCTTAACCCATTCACACACATCAAACTGTGATGGCATAGGCTGCGCCATGCAAGGTGCCATCAACCTTCCATTATGACATGGTTCTTCCTCCTGAACCATGTCATAACGGCTGTTAACAACTAGTTTGGTAAACTCCTCATCAACACGCATCAAGCATGCTCTACTACAGTTTAAAGGACGTCACAGGCTTCATTTCCAGGAGTAGATGAGAAGCAGATGCAGGCGAGAGCCAGGTGTTTTGGTGGTGCCCACGCCTGGAGTACTCAATTCTAAACAGCATCTCTAACGTATGTTGCGCAGTTACGGATCCTAACCCTCTGAGGGCACTTGAAGATCACAGCTCACCAAGTTGAGGCTGTGATCTCCTTAGATGGAGAAGACCACACCCCTGACTAGAGAACTAGAGAAGATAATGGCACCACTCAGAGCTCAACTGGAAAGATCTGGCAACACAAATCTCCATTGACAAAAGTATATTCTCACCCCTCTATTATTGCATTGTTCTTTCTTCTCATCTAACCAGCTTTGATATTTCTTAATGTAAGAAGGAAGGAATGTAAGGAATGTTAATGAGGTTGATTTATTTTATGAAAATGCAGGAAAAATAACTGAATAATTAAACAATGTACCATATGTCAGAACGCTGAGCTAAGTTTTAGTATTCAAGCTGAGAAACTTCATCAGCTCAGTTGAAGAGGGTGACACTAGCAGTACTGACCTGTTCCCATCATGTTACTGACAGAGGCCAGTTCACTGAAGGTGGGGTAGTTGGGCAGAATGGTCTGGACAGGAACCTCATCAGCGGCGCTGCGGATGTCAGCCTCCTCACAGAGGTGGCGGAAACATGACATGGCCACCAGCACCGCCTCGGTGTCTGGACTCCACAGGAACATGTAGAGACACACCTCAAGCTTTGTCTGTGCCTGCCGGCAGATGGGGATCCCGCCGCCCACAGTGGCACACTCCTGGAACCATCAAGTCAGTTTATGGTAAACCTCTCTGAGCATTCACACAACCAAAAATTGGATTCTTAGCCAACGAAAGAGACTCAGCAGCAGCTCAGTGTGCAGCTGGCCTGCGCCATTTCCACTGAAAAAATGATGCATCCCTTTGGGCCGGTTGTTGGCTTGTCTGCCTTTTAGCTGACCAACGAAGTAGCCTGTTGCTGCAGTTAAGGAACTGGACTGTACCTTGTTCTTGAGCAGAAACTTGTTCCTGCAGATGAGGATCTCCCGCAGCCATTTCAGAACTTCTGTCCCATTAACCATTTGCTGACCAATCAGTTTGCGGCAGATAAGGAAGATCACCTGTGAACTGAAGAATGAAGCAAAAAAAAGAGACAAGAGAGAAGTCATTACAGAACAGCAATAGGCAGGGCAGGGCAGGGCAGCACAGGGCAGGGCGGGGCAGGACAGGGCAGGGAGGGCAGCACAGGGCAGGGCAGGGCAGCACAGGGCAGGGCAGGGCAGGGCAGGGCAGGGCAGGGCAGGGCAGGGCAGGGCAGGGCAGGGCAGGGCAGCACAGGGCAGGGCAGGGCAGGGCAGAACAGGGCAGCATAGGGCAGGGCACCATAGGGCAGGGCACCAAAAGGCAGCAAAAGGTAGCGCAGGGCAGGGCGAGGCAGCAAAAGGCAGCGCAGCGCAGCGCAGGGCACCAAAAGGTAGCGCAGCACAGGGCAGGGCAGGGCAGGGCAGCATAGGGCAGGGCACCAAAAGGCACCAAAAGGCAGCAAAAGGCAGCGCAGGGCAGGGCAGGGCAGCAGAAGGCAGCGCAGGGCAGGGCAGCACAGGCCAGGGCAGCACAGGGCAGGACAGGGCAGCACAGGGCAGCACAGGGCAGGGCACCAAAAGGCAGCGCAGGGCAGGGCGGGGCGAGGCGGGGCAGCACAGGGCGGCACAGGGCGGGGCGGGGCAGCACAGGGCAGGGCGGGGCGGGGCAGCACAGGGCAGGGCGGGGCGGGGCAGGACAGGGCAGCACAGGGCAGGGCGGGGCAGGACAAGGCAGCACAGGGCAGGGCAGGAAATCCTTTCTTAATTGAATTTACGGAACAATTGTGATGTATACCCATTACACTGGTAAAAAATCGTATCACCTAACCCTAGTCTGAAGAAGCTGCAAAGCTACAAATCATGGTTGAGTCACATCAGACTACTGAGGCTCCATAGCCATGACTGTGGATTAGAGGCAGGCATTTGATGAGAAGATTGTTGAGTACCTGATGTCCCAGAACGTCTCTATGGGGGCATCAGGATTCCACAGCTCTATGGTCTCTGGCTGGTGCAGAACTAACAGAGCCTGGAAACAGACAGGAGAGTTAGAGAAAGACGAAAAAACAACAAAAATCAAACACCTTAAATTACTTTTTAGACTTTTTTAGACTACTAACTGCATTCAACGTAGGATATTCACATCTAGTTAATCTCTGTACCAGCACTTAATATCCAAAGCTACGAGAGTTTCTCAACCACCAGCTGGCTCCAAATCATCCCGTCTATGTTACAGTGAGCTGCTGCTGAATGCATGTAATACTATGTGACTGTCTACAACGAGGACCTGCAACTTTGAGATTTCATTTAACTGTCCACTCTGGTTTAATCATTTTTTTAATGAAGCAGCTAGCAGATATATTTAGCATACGTTAAACGTTTAACAGCTCATTAACGTTAGTGCTCCTACACTGATAAACACGGCATTAGCTGTGTAGCTAATTTAGCAACGGGCAGAGTTAGCTGCTGTAACGTTACGTGATATTAGAGGACATTTAGAAGTAATGAACTAGGAAGAAAAGAGGACCATTCGCTAGAACAGCCACACTGTTTCAGAAATAAATCTACAATCATGTCTGTTAGCTGCGTAGCCTCCAACACCCAACTAACTTAACATTAAACATGATGCTGTGAGCTGGAAGGAAGCCGGGAGAGGGCAGTGAAAAACGGGAGGGTTAGCAATTCATGAATGTTTTCAGGAGAGGAGAAGTGATGGCTCTGTTTTTATTATAATTATTTAAGTCATGTAATTAACGTGACAAAGGGCTGACTCACTGCTAACACAGCCACTCTGCATGTTTCTGTTCTGTTCAGCTGATTGTTTTCTTCTGTGGTTTTTGTGGTGAGGCAGTGTTGTTAACGGAGCAGCTGCAGAGCTCCCTCTGGTGGGCAAACTATGCAACCCTCATTACATGACTGAAGGATCTGTCTCTCTGTTTCTTTATCAAGTGACAATGTGTCATGTTTGGGGAAAGTTGATAACTACAAAATAGTCAGAATTCTACAGATTGTAGCCTTGTCCTCCTCCCCCTATGCCATAAACATAAGAAGTGTTAGTGAAAGAGTAGGTTGGTCTCTGACCTCCATGGCTTCTTGTGAGAGCTGAGTGGTGTTGGTTAGAGGCACTAACTGCACCAGGCCAGTGATGAGCTCTGCTGTACTACTCTGCATATCTGGAGCTTGCTTCACTGGGTTCTAACACACAACAACACACACACAAAAACTGTTCAGGAGCAAGTTTACATTTTTGTCATTGAAGAAATATACAATACAGCTGACATGAATGAACAAAACACATCTAAAGCATATAGGTGCATTAAAAATGGTGTGGTCGAAAAACCGGTCAATGTAGAAAGTTCTTATAATTAAACTAATAATAATAAGTGTCATTCTGACATAAACGTCGTGGCAGACTCACGTGCAACATCAGTTTGGGGTCAGCGTGGATGAGTTTGACCAGAGCGAGAAGGAGGCACTTGTAACTTCGAGTGTCCAGTTCTGTGGCTTTCTCTTTGAACTTAAGGCTGGTGGTCATCTTCCCTTTGAATGTCAGACTCTGTGGGAGGGCAGGAGACAACAGGGAGGACTCTGATTAGGTTCAGGCAGATTGCTTTCAAATTACATTAGTGCATACAGAGAATATGTTGATTGGGACTGGAATCCAGTTATTTTCTAATGTGTTTCAGGACTCAAGATACTGACTGATAAATAAAGACAATGTTCCACTGATATTTATTCTACAGTTTTATCCGTGTCAACAAATCTCTATCCCATGTGCAGAGCTAAAGCAGCACAGGAAGGATCCTTTCCTGTTCCTCCTCGCCACAGAGCTCCATTGTTGTCCAATTGTTATATTACTACATAACTGAAGTACTTAAAAGGACAACTGGAACTTTCATATTAAAAAATTATAATAAACACACGTTATTTCCTACTTTCCTACTATAGATAAACTTTTAAATAACTACTGAGGATCTTGGAAGGGTGGTCCAGAGTCTGACAACTGTTTTTTGAAATTGTTTTGAACTGTTTATCTAAGGATACTTCAAGCATTGGTCTGATACTTCAGCATTCAAGCAAGTACAATTTGGTATTTTTCTTCACTCAATTTTTCAATTGTTAAACCACTTTAAAGAAGCCCACTCAGAAGACCCATCTATTATCAGTAGCTAAAGACTAGCAACCAACAAAGTACATGAGGGGTGACCCTGAATAGTCAAAGATCTGAAGGTGATACTTTTTATAAAACAAGGATCATGCCATTTTGGCTATTTGGGGGTGCTTAATATCTGATTTTACATACAACTACTGTTTTTCTCCCACTAAGTTAATATTCAGCCTATTATGATATAAATATCAACATATAATGTAGGGCTGAAGGATTGAGGAAGCATGAACTTTGCATGCTACGCTGTAGCCTCAAGCCTGACAGAACCTGACGCTGCGGAAACTTTAGTGTCAAACGAAATGAACAACAGTGTTGGCGGAGAATTACTAAGCTTGTCTAGTAGACGCGAGAGGCATCACTTGCTTTTATTTTGGGCAACCTTTGTACAGAAACAGTATTTCTTATTTGCTTGCTAGGATACAGAGAGAGATGTTGAGAGATGGAGATTTGAGTTGATTTAGATTTGATGTGGAGATTTGAACTTAGATAAGAACTCATTATTTGGTGGTTGGGCAGTGGGTTACAAAAATTGCAATTAGATTATTTAAAGTGTGTGAATAAATAAATAAATTGTTATCTTTAAGGAAGGGGGGGGGGGTGGAGTCAGTGTCCATGTGAGGTAGAAGAGGGAGAGAGACAGAGCACCAGCTGCTGTGAGTTGTGTGTGTTCTTCGCAGGATGTTGGAAGCAGTTATCACCATTGATGAACCTCACAAAGAATATTATTTCATTTTAAACAGTACTTGGAATACACCCGCGAGGACACACCTAGATCAGCCATTGTACAGATACAACCATGTTCAGGGTTACCATTAACAACCCAAGCTTTGATTTGCTTAAATCGCTGAACTCACCCTGCCTGGCGTCTATATGGGAGACGCCTTTAATTCCATTACCATGCTGGTAAATCTGAATGAACTACTTTGGTGCTCATTGTTTCTGTAAAGTGATCTAAAAGATTGTGGCGAATCTAACCGATCTAATTATGTGTGTCATGTCCATACTGGCAAAAGTTTAAAGATTTATATTGGTATGCATGATCTAAGCAGTTAACGACTAGCTCAAGCAGGTGACCCAGAGGTTTTATACATCCAAAGTTGTTTCATAAAAACCAGACCAGGCATCTAATTGGGATTAGGCTTTTAACTGAAATTTTACAGTATTAGTGATGGAAGAATAAACAGTGACAATGGTAGAGTTTCTATTTTAGTATTTTGTATTTGACGCTTTTGATACAACATTTAATAAGACATCCATGCGAAACAGTGCACATTGGCATTTGTAGGTGAGCAAACCCGTTCTTGAGACTGTTTTCATGTCTAGTCATTGATCCACTGTGGTGCTCCATGTTTACTACTCATTTTTGTAATCTCTCTAATAACACTCTCTAAAGTGTGTGTGTGTGTGTGTGTCTGTTTGTATTGCAATTATTTCAATAACCTTCACACGTGGCGGGTGTGTTGCTGCTGTTTGGCGCAATTTGGACAAGGGACATGTTCAGAATTAATAATTATACAACACAGCTCAAAGCGAAAGGCTCACATGGGCGGGGCTTATGCCGCTCCGCTCTGCAGCAGCGAGGGCTTGGTAGGCTCGTGGGGGCGGGGCTTATATGCTTCGATGTGGCAGTGAATTGTTGAAACAGAGTTATCGTCATAACACAGATTTGATATAGTTGTATGAGTGTAATGAAGTTCTAAGGAAGTGGTGAATGTCTAGCTGTACCTCCTCTATTGTTGTGTTGTTTCAGTGTTATTAATAATGTAGGTGAAACCACATGAACAAAAAGTTCAGGGAGGTGTCACATTGGCCCCAGTGAACAGGCATATTCCTATTAATATTCTTAAATATCGAGTTACACTGTTTTATTAGTTCGTTCCCTGTCAGTCTACAACCTTACACTGATGATTTGGCTTGTTTAATGTAGTTAAGTCACGCAACATGTTGCTGTCCTCTCACCGGTGTCATGCGTAGTGGAGCGTGGGTGCCAGCGCCTTGGATTACCCGGTTGAGGGTATCTGAGAACATTAAGCGAAGCTCTCCGGAGTGGCAGTACACTGCATCGATCTTAGGCCACCAGTCCAGATGGGACTGAAAGTAGACACAAAGAAAGAGATATGACAAGTGAAATAACACAGAAGACTATTCTAGCATCACTAATGTGTGAAGAAGCTCTGCAGACTTACATTGGTGATTATTCTGTGCAACGAGTTGACCAGGACAAAGTGAAAGGTGGAGGGGGAGGACGAGGCCAAACAGACCTTAAAGTGCTGGTTGTTGTGAGGATTGATGCGGAAACAAGAGACAAAGCAGTCCATCATGAGCTCCACATCAGCATTTTGACTGCCTGTCCCCCTCCAGAAGGGCTTGGCTGGGTTGAACAGCAGAGCCTGGTGGGACAGGGAGGGCCACAGGTCACTTCAGGTCATTCAAAAGCACATTTCCAGCAAGCTCTACTCCAGACTTGTCACAATAGCCTTTTAGAGAGGGTGGTCATTTAGCTGAATTATTGGGGCCAATTACAACTGGTACAAATACGTGGCCATTTATCAGAGGACAGTCATGTTAAATGAATTTATAAACAATCCAGGTTCCTATGGTAATATTTACAGCTTAGAACAACAACAGTCCCTGCTGCAGCATCCAGCAGTACGAGTGGTGAAAAATGGTTAGGATAGGGATGGGGGATAGAACCTTATGTTTCACTTTTAAGAAAGCAAAGCCAGCACGTGTTCAGATCTTTTATAGACTGGAAACATGAACATGTTGGATAATAAGAAACAAGAACTCTTGTCAAAGATTTGTTTGAGGTAATTTACTGTGTCATCAGTGTCTTCATCACATGCTGTAGTTTCTTCATCAGAGAACACAGGCCTGGTGATGTTTACGCTGTAAAATGTCCCGCTCAGCACATACTCTATCTTGGTAACAAAAAAATGTCTTTATGTTGTGTCCTTAGGTAAAGAAATGTATCAAATCCAATATAAATTCTATTTTAAATCTGTCGCCAAGCAGTGCATCACATCCACACGCTGCACACAGCGTTAGCCTCGAAAAGGCAACGAACATGTGATAACAATATATGAAACTATGCACTCGCATTTGCTTGACTGACGCTCTGAAAACAGCATCAATTTAAATGTAATTTGTCCACCTGTTCACCTTATTTATGAGAATAAATTGCACTGCATGCAAGTATTGTATGATTCAGAATTAAACTGTACAAAATATTTGAGGTGTTCTTTTGCAGAAACACATCTCTCTGTTTGTGTTTATTATCCTTAATCTGGATCTTTTTGTGCGCTGCAAGTGATCTTAGATTGTGTGTTTTTTGCGCACTTCAGGGAAAGTCAATCAAACGGGTGTTTGTTTATTCAGAAAGGCTTTAAGCCTGTAATACTCAGACGTAATATTTCGATTTATTTTACACAGTAGTAGGCCTCTTCATGTCAAACAGTTTCATCCTTCTGCCATGTGGGTCGCCGTTTCTCATTTCTCCTCTTTATTTCCATACGCATGGTTCAGAGTTTACTTACAGGACGCACATTCTCCCGTCAAGTTTGTTTTTTACAGATCACAACCTTTGCTTGGAAGCGGCATCCGCACGTTTCCAGCCCTGTTCTGTACGTACGCACTGTTTATAAATGAGACCCCTGGTCAGACCTTGAGATCCATGACGATGGACTGGACCAGAAGGAAAATGGTTGAGTGATCCTCCCAGTTGATATAGGTGGAGGCTTTGCACAGTTTGACACAAGCGATAGCAGCGCTTTCCATCAGCTGCTTACTGCCCTGGCCCGCTAATGCTTTCCGCAAACTGTCCAGAAACAGTTTCTGCAGACACAAAAGGACAAGAAAGCGTGTGAGTGATGGAGTCAGTCTCTGCTCTGTGTGCGTGTGTGTGTGTGTTCTTTCCTCACACCTTGTTGGCCTTGCTGTCTTCCACAGTGTCTTTGGAGATGGTGTGTGTGATCTCTGGACAGAGGATGAGGAGGATGATCTGCAGCGGCCACACAGCTGCCTTCCTCTTGGCGCTCTCTGCAAAGCTGTCCACCAGGTCAAACAACTTTTCTGCAGCTTCTGGACACATACACACACACAGTTAATGAGACAGCAAAGGTCACTGCGGAGTCACAGGCTGTAAGTAGGCCTGTCACCATAACTACTGGTTAAAAACAAATGCATCCCCCCCCCGTTATATATCAAACTCAATGTGCCTCTGGGCTCCGAACCTGGCCAAGTGCCAGGGAAAGCACCAAGAAGAGCAATAACGTTAGCTAAGCACCAAGCTAGAGAACTGGGACCCGCTTAGAACGTCAATCCATTGTATCGAGAAATTCGAATAATCTGATTACTAAAAATGCAAATTCTTTGCATCAATGCTTTCGCACAGACGATTCTTATTGTTGCACAACACACTTACACTGTAAACGAGTGAAGACAACGTGATTTGATGGTGTGGATTGCAAAGTGTAGGGAGAGAGAGAAAATAGCGAGGGACAAAGAAGAGACAGGCCAGAGAAGAAAAAGAAAGAAAGCAGAAAGCACCCGGTCTACGCATCCTTGGAGCGGACCCCAAACAAGGTAACGTTAGCATACATAAATCATGATTGCTAGCTAAGATACAGGCGAGCAAAGGTAAGGCACACTTCTTAGTTGTATGTGTATGATGTATAACCGTGTGTTTGTTGTTATTGTTCTCTGACTAGTTAGAGTGTGAGTTTGGGTTATAACATTACAGTAATCTGAGTTACACAGCTGATCCTTGTACCGGGGGCGCCAAGCAAAAGTATTTCCTATCCGATTACTCAAATCAATTAAATAATCTGTAGAATACTCGATTATTAAAATAATGGATGGCTGCAGCCCTAATTCATTACTGAGAGACAGATAATCATGGTCTTGTCTAGTCCCTCTCATTCTCTCATCAAAGTTGTTAACACTGACACTGGCTTTGACACGAGAGTGAGTGGGGTTCTTTCTTAATTTGCTGTGCCCTACGCACGTGCGTTGTGAGCATATAGGACAGTCCAGCTCTGTATGTGTACAGTCCAGAGAAACTCTGCTTTTAATGTTGGCGTAGATCCAAAAAGACTTTTGTGATGCTCCTGATGTGAATACAGCGTACACAGCACAGTTTGGATTATTGGTTATTGGTTCCATGTTGTTACAGCCTGATCAAAATGTTATACATAAAAACATTAAATCAATTTTCTTAAGACATTTTAAGACCTACAATTCACATTATTTAGATTTTAGACTTTTTCAAGGACCCGTGGAAACGCTGCTGGAAATTTGCTTAACAAAAATAGGTCAACCCTGTCCCTGACAAACATGTCACTCATGCTTCTCATAGATGCATGAGCCATGTTAGCCAGCTGTAGCCCATCAGTACAGGCTGAAAGGTAAGCATCGCTGCAGCTCAGCAGGCCACAGTGCAATGGTGGATTGAGTCTTTTGAGTGTTGATTTCACACTACCTTGTTACCTAGTTGGTAAGACGCAGTGCTGGAAAGTACACAACGTCCCCATCTTTACTCTGTGTAGCAACGAGCGGATCATACTCGTGAATGTTATACATTAACAGGGCAATACTTCTAAAGATGAAATATGTTTTCTGACTGGAGTTCAATCCACTGAAATAATGGTTCGGAATCAGAGCTAAGCTGTAGCATGGATCTCACAGCTAGCTTGATAAAGGAGTGAATCTGTGGTTTAGTCGAGAATGTAACCAAGTACTGTACTTCATTAAGCATTTTCTGCTACTTCCACAACTACACTTCAGAGGGAATTCTGTACTTTTAACTCCACTACATTTCTTATTTCACAGCTATAGTTCCTAGTTACTTTTCAGATCAGTAAATGATTTGACCAGTTAAAATGTACTCTACATCAAAAAAGTGCCCAGTTTAAATAAAAGATTTTACTTAATATTCTTTTGTAAAGTAGGAGCCTACTGATTACCTTTGCATAGTTCTATTGGTGAACAATCCACAAAGAAAAGAAAATCGATTTTCATTCAGCTCAAAGGTTCACTTTGCAGGTCAGTCATATCTGAATTTGGGTTGGGGTCTAGATAATTATTATTATTGATGTCTAGCTTGGTTTAGTTGCTTTTTACAGTTTGTATCTGCAGAGCACTTAAAAACAAACAAAATGTCAATTCAAATCATGAGCAGAATGATAAACTGAATATGTCTACACGATTTATCAAATCACAACTGACCCTTCGCTTAGCAATGGCCTCCTTAGTTACTGTTAAGTCGGACCTGTTGGATTTATCACGCCACTGTTACTGTGTACAACTACACTCCCTGAAGCAATATCGCCAAAGTTTAACTATTTTGAACTGTGATGAGCACACCAAGCGGTGTACTGCACTTTGCTCGACGAAGCAACAAACCACCTAACTTGCTGCGCAAGCCATTGAAAATAATGGCTTTCATAGCGAAGCAGTGTTTATATGTATACACACACATATACATACAGTCATATGCAAAAGTTTAGGCACCCCTGAATATTTCCATGATTTTCATTTATAAATAATTGGGTGTTTGGATCAGCAATTTCATTTTGAGCTATCAAATAACTAAAATACAGTAATATTTCAGTACTGAAAATGTGCAATATGCATCAAAACAAAATTAGACAGGTGCATAAATGTGGGCACCCTTTTCATTTTGTTGATTTGAATACCTGTAACTACCTAGCACTGATTAATTGGAACACACAGTTGGTTTGGTGTGCTCATTAAGCCTTGAACTTCATAGACAGGTGCATCCAATCATGAGAAAAGATATTTAAGGTGGCCAATTGCAAGTTGTTGTTCTCTTTGACATGGGGGCCTCAAAACTATTCTCAAATGACCTGAAAACAAAGATTGTTCAACATTATAGTTTAGGGGAAGGCTAGAAAAAGAGATTTAAGCTGTCAGTGTCCACTGTGAGGAACATAGTGAGGAAATGGAAGACCACAGGCACAGTTCTTGTTAAGGCCAGAAGTGGCAGGCCAAGTAAAATAGAGAGGCAAAGGCGAAGAATGGTGAGAACGGTCAAGAAAAGCCCACAGACCACCTCCAAAGACCTACAAAATCATCTTGCTGCAGATGGTGCCAGCTTCATTTTGGAATAAGGTGCTGTGGACTGATGAAACAAAGATGGAGTTATTTGGTCATAACAAGGGGCGTTATGCATGGTGGCAAAAGAACGCAGCCTTCCAAGACAAACACTTGCTACCCACAGTAACATTTGGTGGAGGTTCCATCATGCTGTGGGGCTGTGGGATTTAGGGGCCTAAACTTTTGCATACAACTGTATATACTAGGGGTGTGATGAGATACTTAACCCAGGAGACAAGATGAGATTGGGTTCACAACATCGAGACAGGACAAACACTATTTTTAAGAAATCTTTAATGCTGAATTATATGAATATTTTTAGTATTGAACACTTTATTTCCTGCATTCTGATTAGATTTTCTGCACCAGCTTATGTGATTTTTTTTTTTATTTATATATATATATATATATATATATAAGCTGGTATAAAGGTCAGTGCAGCGCAGTATCTCACTGGAAACAAATGGAACATGTAAAATAAACTACATTCCTGACATCAAAATACTGAGTAAAGTTAGAATGAAAATCAGTCCCTCTCAGTCCTTCCTCCTCCTCCTCCTCCTCCTCCCTCTGCTGCTGCTTTAGATAGGAGCTGGTTTCTCTCAACAAGCAGCTGAGTTCACAAGGAGTTGCTAAATTTTAAGGTGTGTAGCATCTCAGCTAAACAGGCTACAGAGAGATATAGCTTGTTTATAACTAGCTATTAGCCGAGCTAGCACATGTGCTTGTGAAAAACCAAAACACAGCTGCGTTGGATGACAAAGAGCAGACTAAAATCTTTCTTTGTACTCGTTCCTGCTTGTTGTACTGATGCAGTAGCAGCCTTTTATTAATGCTGCTGGTTTTCCTGCACTTACTTACAGTAACGGCCATAGTTCTGGTCAACTGGTGTATCTACACTGATCTGCTCGGCTCACTTCGCTCAGCGTGTGTGTGTGTATGGGGAGCTTTGCTGAGAGAGGAGGGGCGGGGATGTAGCGTGATGGTTCGCTCATTCTATTGGCTACTTCCGCACAATAGTCAGTGTTGATGGGCTAGGTGATGAACTGAACTGAAGTGATGAACTAGGGAGAAATGACAGGACCATTCACTAGAACTGCTGCGCTGTTTCAGAAATAAATCTACAATCAAGTTTGTCAGCAGCGTAGCCTCCACCACTCGCCTACTGTAACATTAAACATACTGCTGTGACCCAGGAGGAAACCGGGAGAGGGCAATGAAAAACGGAAGCGTTAAGATGTCATGAATGTTTTCAGGAGAGGAGAAGGGACGAGGGCTATTTTTATTATTATTTAAGTCATGTATTTCACATGATGAATGATCAACTCACTGTGAACACGGATTATCTCCTGCTTAACTCCAGTCAGCTGATTGTTTTGTTTTGCATTTGTGTTTGTTTTGAACAGGGGAGTTGCAGAGCGCCCTCTGGTGGGTGAACTATGCAACGCTTATGACAAAAGTGAAGGATGTGTCTCTCAGTTTCTTTTTAAATTGTCATTAATCGTCTCTTTTAAATGCATATACCAATTTATCTGCAATAAGATCATAACTGCACACCAATAAATCGGTCAGACTCTAGTATATGATAAAATGCTTGTTAATAAACTCTGTGTTACTTGAACATGTTTCAATGTGCTTTTGCATTTTCTTTGATAATAAAGCAAGCAGACTCATGATACCATTTGTTACCATTATATCCCAATCTCAACCCAACCCTAAAACTGAATCTCTGCTTAAAGACCCCAATCAAATCTAATTTAGACATATTCATTGTATATATTGTGGGGGTGTCCCCGACTAAGGATTTACACGGTCAAATCATAATTGTCAAGTCTTGCCTATAGTCGACTGATAGTTGAATCTGTATGTGTGTGTTGGAGTGGGCAGGGGGTTAATCTTGAGAAGCTGCAGAGCTGCATTCTCTATTCATTAATCACTGTAACTTACACTGTACAATTCCAGCTAAACTGAGGCTTTTTGTTGACCCTTTTCTATATGCTCTGCTTGCCTGGCATTCACCGGTCTTGTGCAGAGTTGTGCATGTCCGCCAACTCGCCGACAATCATGTGCACCTCGCCGTTACTCACCGATCTCTTCCAAGTACTGTTATTCTATTATATTGTAAAACAATATTCTTCATGTGGTTCATCAACAGTGATAAATGATCCAAATGTCCCGCAAAGTTCAGCACAACACCGGCGTTGCTGTTGCTCTGTCTCTCTCCGCCTTCTACAACATCCACACGCTATGCCTACACATGCGCACCGACGCCCACGATTTTAAGGGTTAGGGTTCCAATTTTGGAATTATTCATGCACTTTAAAATTATTTATTAAAAGCTCCTGTCGTTTCACATTGTTATTTATAGCATTATATGTTCATATATATTTCATAATAGGCTGTATATTAACTCATTAAGAGAAAACCGGTAATTGTTCGTAAAATCAGACATTGAGCACCCCCATATAGCCAAAATGGTATGATCCCAATTTCATAACAGCAGAGACGTTTTAGAGGAGACACGCCACTCAGTCACATCCTCAATACAAGTCTATGGGGAAAGCCCGTAACACCAAAGATGGCGGTTATCCCTCCCTTCCCGCTAGAAAGCCAATCGTCTGCTTTTAACAGCCAAAGCGGGAAACATATTTTAGGCAATTGTGTGGTTCCACTGACATAAGGGTCTGTTTTACTTCTATTGCACATGTGTGGAAGAAGTGACGCATGCGCAGTAGAAGTATAACTGGTGGGGAAAAATTCTAAGCATGACTTGCCTAGAAGGACTTTGATAAGGGCTCTGTGAAGATTCGACTGTGAGATTCGGAGTTGAATCAGGCTCCTCTTATCGAATCTTCGACTATTTGGTGTCAACCCTAATATATTGTGTCTATTTTATTATAGTTTTTACTAAATTCCCTTGTGCTGCTGCCTCAAATTGAATTTCCCCCATCAGTAAAAGGTACATCTTATCTTAATACTGTGAATCCATGCATACCTGCCATATCTGCCTGTGGTCGCTGGTAAAGCATGGTGAACTCATCTGGGTAATTCTCCACCCAATTCCAAAATGCCTGTAGAGACAGAACAGTAGACATATAAGAAGAACATGTACACAGCTGAACTGTCTACTCAAGAACGTTTCTCTGCTAACAAGCGCTGTCCACTGCTCAGCTATTCATTACACACATAAATCACTCAACTTATTGTGACGGTACACTACAACACAAGAGCCAAAGTATTATAGTTTGAGGCAGAAAGAGGCCAGTAGAAGAGGTACCTTCTCTAAACTGTTGATGACTGCAAGCTGGGCAGGCTTCTTGAGAGCTCTAAACTTCAGCACAGTTTCTGGAAGAAAATAAACAGCATAAACACAAACATCAAAGTCAGTATCGTCATCTTGTAACAAATCAGGAATTCTTTATATCAATAGGTCTTGAAGAAGCACTGAGTCTAACAATGCCTGAGTGTAACCAATTGACAATCCATCCCAATTCTCAGCGGTCTACTCCAAATCCAGCTCTGACATCTACTTACATAATACAGTCATATGCAAAAGTTTAGGCACCCCTGAATATTTCCATGATTTTCATTTATAAATAATTGGGTGTTTGGATCAGCAATTTCATTTTGAGCTATCAAATAACTAAAAAAGACAGTAATATTTCAGTAGTGAAATGAGGTTCATGAACAGAAAATGTACAATATGCATCAAAACAAAATTAGACAGGTGCATAAATGTGGGCACCCTTTTCATTTTGTTGATTTGAATACCTGTAACTACCTAGCACTGATTAATTGGAACACACAGTTGGTTTGGTGTGCTCATTAAGCCTTGAACTTCATAGACAGGTGCATCCAATCATGAGAAAAGATATTCAAGGTGGCCAATTGCAAGTTGTTGTTCTCTTTGACATGGGGGCCTCAAAACAACTCTCAAATGACCTGAAAACCAAGATTGTTCAACATTATAGTTTAGGGGAAGGCTAGAAAAAGCTATCACAGAGATTTAAGCTGTCAGTGTCCACTGTGAGGAACATAGTGAGGAAATGGAAGACCACAGGCACAGTTCTTGTTAAGGCCAGAAGTGGCAGACCAAGTAAAATAGAGAGGCAAAGGCGAAGAATGGTGAGAACGGTCAAGAAAAGCCCACAGACCACCTCCAAAGACCTACAACATCATCTTGCTGCAGATGGTGTCACTGTGCATCGTCCAACAATTCAGCGCATTTTGCACATGGAGAAGCTGTATGGGAGAGTGGTGCGGAAGAAGCCTCTTCTGCACGCACACCACAAACAGAGTCGCTTCAGGTCTGCAAACGCACAATTGGACAAGCCAGCTTCATTTTGGAAGAAGGTGCTGTGGACTGATGAAACAAAGATGGAGTTATTTGGTCATAACAAGGGGCGTTATGCATGGTGGCAAAAGAACGCAGCCTTCCAAGACAAACACTTGCTACCCACAGTAACATTTGGTGGAGGTTCCATCATGCTGTGGGGCTGTGGGGCCAGTGCCGGTACTGGGAGTCTTGTTAAAGTTGAGGGTCGCATGGATTCAACTCAATATATATGTAGAGGAATCAGTCACAAAGTTGAAATTACGCCGGGGCTGGATATTTCAACAAGACAACGACCCAAAACTCTGCTCAAAATCTACACTGAATAAATGTAAATGGAACAAGTACAATGTTCCCCAGACCTGAATATCATTGAAAATCTGTGGGGTTATCTGAAGGGGGGGTTGTCCAACTGAACTGGAGATGTATTGCAAGGAGGAATGGTCCAAAATACCTTCATCCAGAATCCAGACACTCATTACAGGCTATAGGAAGCGTCTAGAGGCTGTTATTTCTGCTAAAGGAGGCTCAACTAAATATTGATGTGAAATTTCTGTTGGGGGGCCCAAATTTATGCACCTGTCTACTTTCGTTTTGATGCATATTGCACATTTTCTGTTCATCCAATAAACCTCATTTCACTACTGAAATATTACTTTCAGTTATTTAATAGCTGAAAATGAAATTGCTGATCCAAACACCGAATTATTTATAAATGAAAATCATGGAAATTGTCAGGGGTGCCTTTACTTTTGCATATGACTGTATATTACTAAAGCTAGCATGGAGTGTGGGCTCCATTAAGACGTTCTGGGCCTGATGTAAATGTATACCTGGAAGAATATTGGAAGCTAACCTTGTAGCAGCCTTTTCAGCTTGGAACAGTCCACATTGATGTACTGCATCAGCTCTATGTCATGAACATCCACATTGTCCTCAGAGCACACCGTCAGCTCCTGCAGCCTGAGGAGACACAAAAGCACACATTCAATCAGTCAGGAAGATCAAGACATGTTTTTTTTAACCTTCGTCAGGAAGTGGAAATGATTTTACTGAGCACACAGCTTCTTTTCCAGCATCACCAACAGGAACATGACTGAAAACATTACCATGATATTAAAAGTTATTTTCTGATACACATATGAAGAACAAATTGCATGTACAGTATCTCATGAAAGTGAGTGATCTAAATATTTGATTATATCTTTTCATGTGACAACACTGAAGGTGTGAAGAGACACTTAACCCACGAGATAAGACAAGATTGGAGATTGGGTTAACGAGACAAGACAAGATTTTAACACAATTTTAAGAAATCTTTCATGCTGAATTATTTGAACATTTTGAGCAACACTTTATTTCCCGTCTTTATTTAATGAAAAGTCTACCTGCCCTTAACTCTGCTGTGCATTACGTTTTTGATCCGCTGGCAGTAAACGTTACCCCTTCACACCGTTTGGCCCACACAGTTTGGGACTGCATGTTGCATGTGAAACCGAAAGTAAATGAAACACTTTTGATCAGGCAGAAATCTCACCACAAATCCACACACGTTAACTTCCAATCCAAAACAGAGCAGGCTGCGCTTCACTTTTTAGATGTTTATGTTGCAAAACTCTACCAGTTACGTTACTACTAGTCACAGCTGTCTGGACCATTGACTGTATATAACAAGGTCTGGACTTGCGCGAGCGGGTCCAGCCGATTACTATCACAGCGTATGCCAGTGTCAATCAGCTGGGCGGTGTTGATTCGCTCCGTGAGTCTAATATCAGTTATACATTTGTATTTCACAGCGTGAGTAAATTAATGTGTGGCTTGATAGCGTGTGAAAAATGTCATTTGTGTGAGTCTCGCAAGACAGCTTTTTACCGGATGAGAATTCTCGTCACAATTTGATCTTGTGAGATCTCGTGGCGCGAGATCTTGTCACACCCCTAGCGGCCAAAATTATTTACCAGCACTGCCTTAACCCTTTTGGGCATGGAGTTCACCAGAGCTTCATAGCTTGCCCCTGGTCCTCTTCCACTCCTCCATGACCACATCACAGAGCTGGTGGATGTTGTATTGGTCTCGTCAGACCAATATAAAACTGTTTGTGGGCTGAACTGTGCTCTGAACTACGGGATGAGGGTCTTAGTTTGATATAAAAATAGTTACGGTATAAGACTGTGAAAATACATAATTACAGACCACAAACCCAAGTCGCATTAGTGACGTCATAACTTTCTCTCAATGACTGAAAATTACTAAAGCTAACGTCAAAGAACTTGCAAGTGTAGATGATGTGATAAAGGGATAGAGTTGTTGGATTAAACACATCTGGTGAGATATATTTCTGCATGGAACATAGCTAAGTTATTTAGCTAGCAGCAACTAAGCAATGATATTGTGCGAGAAGAGAGATGTAGTTCAGGGCACAGTTCAAACAGAATCAAAAACTAGAACTGCAAGCAGTTGTAAGCGGGGTCCAAGCCCCCCGGGGCCAGCCGCATGCCTTGCACCACGGAGGACGCGCAAGTCGGCCCGGGTGCCCCGCCGCAGCTCGGGGGCCCAGCAGAGAATAAACGACCAGAGTTTGAAATTAAAGGGATTCGCGGTTATGCAGATATAAAATGAATGGATGTCTATGGGAGCGTTATTTGATACACGATTAATAGCGGCACCTCTCATCAGGGGGGCATATCACACAAAGTCCTCCATGTGCTTGTTAGTGGGACAGTTTTTTGCGTATCAATGTGGGGAGCACAAGCTTGCATCAGCGTGGTCCAGAGATCATCGGAGCCAAGTTTGGTGCCGATTGGACTTGCGGCTTCGGAGGAGTTAATTAAAATAGGTTTTTCAGTTTTCGCGATTTGGCGAAATGAAAACGTCATTGCACAGAAGCGTGTCCTATACCATAGGAATCGGCAGCATCCCCCAAAGACGTAGACATGAATTATGAATGTGCAATGTAGTGACGCCTAGTTATGAGCCAAAATGTGCTGTGTCCAAAATCCGATCGAAATTTTTCAAAGGATTTCAGCTTCCCTTAGGCCGAAATGCACCAAAATTTTGAGGTGTCATCAGGGTCCCGTGGGGAACAACTGACCCAAATTTGATATCAATCGGACATGTGGTTAAGGAGATATAACGTGATTGTGAGTCTGGGAGTGCTATTTGATTTCCAATGAATAGCGCCACCTAAATTGACGCCAAATTTCACACAACGGGAGGTTGTGGCAGATAAGGTCCCCGAGTTTGGTGTAGATCGCCCATTGCAAACGTAAGCTTTGACATGACATCCTGTTTTAGCGTTTGCGCAAACATTTGATAGCTTATAATTCGGACGTTTTTTTATCAAAATTCCCTCTACAAACTTTTATCGGCTTGTTCGAGAGATGGTCTGTGCCAAGTTTTGTGCCGATCGAACTTTTGGCTTCGGAGGAGTTAATTAACATAGGCTTTTCAGTTTGTGATTTATCGCACAGAGGCATGTTTTATACCATCAGAATCGGCAGAATCCCCCAAACACGTAGACATAAGGTTTATGAATGTGCGATGTAGTGGCGCGTAGTTATGAGGCAAAATGTAGCTTGGTTGAAAATCCCATTGAAATGAATGGGATTTTCTGACAGTATTTGAGCTTCGATTATAGCGCCACCTTTAGGCCAAATTGCATTAAATTTTTCAGGTGTCCCCATGGGGAACAATTGCCCCAAATTTGCCAAATGTGTATATAGTGCCCCCTAGTGGTCGAAGTGTGCGGATATTAGGCACCTGAGGTACTTGTCGTGGTTTGAACCTACACTATGAGTGTTTCGTAGCACTTACCGTCTAGGCTACAGTATGAGTTTTAGCGGCGGAATAATAAAAATCCTAATGATTCCAATAGGGTTCCCAGCTCCGCTGGTACTGGGTACTTTAGGCATCTGCGGGTTCCCAGCCAACTCGGGATTAGACCCCTAAATACGTTGTCTCTCGCCACTGACTACCGTACATACTTTTTCCGATATAAGGTCCCATGGGCCGGAAGTGGAAGCGAGTGACTTAGACTCTCTATGGTCTGAGCACTGACAGGCTGACCCCCCCACCCCTTCAACCTCTGCAGCAAAGCTGGCAGCACTCACATCTATTTCCCAAAGAAACCTCTGGATATGACACTCAGTATGTGTACTTACCTTCTTTGGTCCACCATGGCAAGGCCTGTTGAGTGGAACCTATCCTGGTGAACTGCTGTATGGTCTTGGCAACTGTGCTGCAGCTCAGTTTCAGGGTCTTGACAATTTTCTTATAGCCTCGGCCATGTTTATGTACAGCAACCATTCTTTTTTTCAGATCCTCAGAGAGTTCTTTGCCATGAGATGCCATGTTGAACTTCCAGTCACCAGTATGACGGAGTGTGAGAGCAATACCATCACATTTAACACATCTGCTCCCCATTCACACCTGAGACCTTGTAACACTGTCACATGACACCCGGGAGGGAAAATGGCTAACTGGGCCCAATTTGGACATTTTCACTTAGGGGTGTGCTCACTTCTGTTGCCAGCGGTTTAGACATTAACGGCTGTGTGATGTGTTATTTTGAGGGGACAGCAAATTTACACTGTTATACAAGCTGTCCACTCACTACTTCACATTGTAGCAAGTGTCATTTCTTCAGTGTTGTCACATGGAAAGACAGAATCAAATATTGACTAAAATGTGAGAGGTGTACTCACTTCTGTGAGATACTATAATTAAAATGATGTGAAATGTGTTTTTGCCCCCATTTTTGTTTAAAACAAATAGTTAAAAATTTCATGTCAAATCTACCAACTCATTGATCGGTCATTTCAGCTCTACTGGACAATGGCCAGTAACTTCAGTGTGCTACTGCTAATCACAGAAACAGCTCCAAAGAGACAGCAAGGGGTTTGGCACCTGGTGGAGATTCGACTGAAGACGGCGTTAAAGTTGTTGCAGCTCAGAGAGAAGAGGACAGCAGAGGCTGAGGCCCGGAGCTCAGCAGCGTGCTGGTGGCCCTCGCGGTACGTATGGATGAAATGGCAGATCTCCGGCAACAGCTGCTTCACCAGCATGGTCTCATCCAGACGCAAGCAGTCCTTGGATTGCTGAGGAGGGAGCGCAGATAGGAGGAAGACAGTCAAGAAAAGGCTGTTTCATTGATTTGATCCTTCATGCTGAAACTGAGGAGGGGCTAAGTGTCAGCACTCAAAGGAACACACACACACACACACACACACACACACTATGGCCTCAAAAACACTAAATTTTCCTCACTGGTTGCCCATCTAAATCCTACATCACGACACCTAAAATGACAACACTGAGCTTGTACAATTTCTTCTTCAAAATTCAGTCAAAAACCCTTTTCACAGTCAACTTAACTTATCTCAAGGTATATTAACTGCCAATAACAATTCGTCAGCTCTCTAAACGTTCATGATTCCAACTATCAAAAAGCCCCCAAATCAAATCTTTTTGTCAGTGAAATGTCTAAATGACCTCCCTACTAACTAATTGCAATGGAAACAGGGAAGGAGGATGGAAAGGGAAGGCTAACCTATGATGGTACAACCTCCTCTACTGCCATCTAGTGCAACTGACTGAAAAAAGAAAAATATGAAATATTCATTACTAATGTAACAGAAGTGTCTTTAGTTGTAAAAATGCTAGAAGCACAAAAAGTCGATTTTCTAGGAAAAACTAGCGATTCAGGAACAGCCCTAGTAAGTAGGGTCAAATAAATGAAATAAACAATTATTTACAGCAAAAGCATCAGCAATGTTTTTAACAAATCACTGTTATAGACTAATGTTATAATGGAAATGTAAACCATCAGCTGGCTAACAGTTACTTAATAATGAACACATGTTCACAAAATTTAGTCAACTCTGTGTGTGGGCTCTAGTTTGCTAGCACACATCCCTGACATAGATGGGGCAACAAGTGAAGAACTATGAACAATGCAGTGGAAAGCATTTCTCTGCCAGTATATGACGCACTTTGGATAAATGTTGGGACAGATTGCTCAAGTTTCTGTGTTTTATGCTACATTACCAGTTAACTCTGGCAACACTAAAGCAACTATAGGTTAAATACAAAATACAGGAAAAATACAATTGTGTGGACGGCCTACTCTGTTCAGCATCCCTGCTATCACTGCAATAATACACATTTGTTTTGTTCATTTTGGACTCTCGTCATGTACAGTCTGAGCACAGCAAACAGGTGACAAAAATCCTAAAATCAATCCTCAGCACTGCTCCACTGAATATAGTTTATTTCTGTATACCTACGTAGCAGAAGGTAGTAACAAACTGAATTTGTGACATAAATCTAGCTTGGGCCTTATACCGTGTGAAAATGTATCAATCGTTTTACAGCTGCTTATTTGGCCACTGAGAAAAACTGGCTTCAAAGTACGGAGCACTTCCTGAGGGCCAGGAGGAAATGCAATGCTACCAAGTTGACCAACTTTCTTTTTTGGGATTAAAACGTTCATTTATCTTCACTTGCACTTCTTGGCAGTGAGCTACCGTGTGTTTTCGGTTCCACTGTCCACTACTTCATATTTATATAAAACCACACAAAACTGGACATAGCTTGGAGAAAATAAAGTTGAACTACCTAGTAAGTTCGGAAAATATGTGTTATTTTATTCCCGCTATCGTTGTACTTTACTGTGAACAACTTAGCATAGCATAGCCCTGACTGATCTGAAATCCATTCAAAAAACAAACATTTTTAGGTTTTTGTTCTCTTTCTGACAGATCTGAGAAAAAATTACTTCATATGTTTAACAAATCATGTTGTAGTTATTTCGGCATGAGTTAGATCCATTTATTTATATCCATTACTTTAGGCTCATACAGCTGTAGTATTCACGGATTGTGTTTATTGCCTTATCGCATTGTGTGTGAACACTACGCAGTAGTCCAGTCATAAAACCTCCGCGAGGAAAGCGTCGCGAGGATTAAATTTACGTTTGGTCCGAATGCACAGTAAGACTGTCCACGCTGCCCACCTCCCTATTTTGTAACTCATCGGATCTACACAAATCACTCAAATGGCTTATTTTGGATTGCAAACAAATGAAAGGTAACAAGTTTGCATCCCTGAAGTACAGTATAAAATTATGTGGAAAACAAATACTTTCAGTCAAATAACCCCCAAACCCCACGACTACACAACCCCCCACCGCAACCACAGCACCTAAGCACTCCAGAAACCTAGAGAGAAAAACGACTTCCACATACTGTGGATGCTAATACCAAAACCCTGTACCGGAAGCTGGCTTCACCGAGGGATCATCCAGCGATGAGGAGAGCGTGACTGATGGAACATAAGTACTTGAACAGAGCACACAAGCAAGGATATTTCAGAGTTTGATTTTATAGTACAATTGGGAGGTAACAACCCACAATCTACTCCTACAACACAAAGGCCTGTCATGAAGGCGTGGCTTACTGGTCCCATCAGATCAATTCTAAAATAAATTTTTTGGAAAAGTTGTCAATTGTTGTGTTTTCTAAAGATCAAGACAGCAGTGTGCTCAAATGGGAAGCCTCACCCCAGCCAGACACTTCTCCAGGGTGTCCAGGATGATGAGCTGGGAGAGGTAGAGGTTCTTCTCAGAAGCTTCTCCAAATATCCGCTGTAAAGACATTCACAGCATTAGCAAAGCATCAGTATCACAGTACTGATTATGATGATTTCATGGGCCACAGAAACCTCATTACACTGTCAAACCTCCCCCTTCCCCCCTTTATTCACCAATAATGCATACACAGAGACAATATGGACATACCAACACATCCAAAGGTAACAAAACAAAGGGACACAGATAATAGAGGACAGCAGGTGACGAAGAAAAAAATAGTCAAAGCTAAAGTGAGAAAGAAGAGGCAAAGGAGAAGACAAAAAGGAGAAAATAAATAAATAAACGGAGGGGTTGATCTGTTTGAGTTTGGATGCATTTCAGGTGACTTACAGGATGGGACTGGTTTAGTATTCATTCTTTCTGTTCATACATTTACTTAGCTGAAGCTTTTATTTAAAGTGACTTCCAATTGCTGTATTTGTCATAAGTGTTATAAGTGTCTTGCTCAGGGACACATTAGTGGATGTGTTACACTGGGAATCGAACCTGGGTTTCTCAGCACAAAGGCATGTGTTTTATCCAGTGCTCCCTCACCACCCTGCATTTGTTCCTTTCTTTCTTTCCCTTTCTTCATACTTACATTTACATTTATAATTAAATTGTGGCATTGGCTCACCGGCAGCAGAATCGATATATATTTTATTGATCTGTTCAAGGTGTTTTTTTATAGAGCTGATTGTTGTCCTACTGATAAATGTCATGTGAATGTATCCAGATTGCCCAGTGTGCGGATAGTGTAGTGGTTAGGTCTTCTCAGAAATGTTGTATCTGTGGACAGAGGCAAGTTGCCATCGGTGTGTAACGTGTACAATGAGTGCATATGTCCGAGGCTAATTATTATTAATTATATAACTGTGTCTAGATAGGATTTTAACCTGATTACAGACATGGGTCCAAAAAATGCTCTATAACTACAGACTGTGTAATAATTTTCACTGCCATTTCTGAACATCTCTGAGCTTTCCATTTGTTTTCTTCCCATGTATTACTCTCTCTTCGTGGTGCTCCGATGTAACAGCTGGGCCAGAAAGTGAAGCATCGTATCCTTGCTACCTTTCTTTCTGTTGTTTTAGTAGTTCATATTGAGTTTAACTCAACAGTGCACAGATAGGTCTCCAAAAACATGAGAAAGTTCATTAAGTGTGTTCATGCACAAGACCGTACGGACACACACTGTCTGTATGCATCGTGTAATGAGTACAACCGGTCCGTACTTCCACCCACGTAGTTGTTATAAGTGGACTGACAATGCAGTTGCATTTAAACTTGTGTTTAATGTGGTCACTATGTGTCCCTGACCACCTCCGAAGGTGGTTTGGTCAGTCGAATTCATTATCGGATCCTGTACTTTCATGTGGTCAAGCACTATCCCACTGCAATCCCATTACCGGGTGTAAATGGCCTACCTGATCTGGCAAATCCCATTATATGCGTTTTGCGCTGTGTTCTATAAATGGTCTTGTATTGTATTAGCCTTTTGTTAGTATTCCTACACTGAAGAGGTTATTAACAGATTATATTCCAGAAGTGGTGGTGTGGATGTTGAGGTCCTTCTCCCAGTTGTTTTTTGGAATATCAGACACATTGTTAGAGTCAGCAAAACATGAGTTTATACAGTTTTGAGAGTGGTTTGTTTGATTTTGCAATAGTACTGATGCTGTCCCCACTAATGGTGGTTGTTCCAGGTGTGCACTAGACATGTCTAGTTTTACCTTGATTTAATGTTTTAATTGGATATACAGTATTCTAATTATTGTTTTAGCTCAATGCCATCTCTCTGATAAAGAGGGGAATCTGTGTGTGTGTGTGTGTGTGTGTGTGTGTGTGTGTGTGTGTTTGTATTTCCATTATGTCAGTATCTGTTTATCCATTCGACACGCAGTGTTGCAATATTAACACAACATGATTAAAATTAATAAACAGCCTGCACTACAGAACAGCACTGAGCGGAGCTCTGTAGCAGCTAAGGAGGGGAACGCTTGTGGGGGCATAGCGTAGCTGCTAGTGGGGACTTGCGCTGCACAGCTCTGCAACAGCGAGGCTTATAGACTCCAATGTGGTAGTGAATTGTTCAAACGGAGTTATTGTCATCACGCAAGTTTAATATAGGCTCTGTTGGAAACAAATGTGATGAAACAGAGTATATTTTTTTTAAATTTTTTCTCATTTGTTCTAAGGAAGCGCTGAATATCTAGCAGTATCTCCACCACTGTCATGTTGTTTCAGTGTTATTAATGCTGTAGGTCAGGGGTCAGCACATTAGTTTGAGTGACTAGTTTTTGGTCATTATCATCATTCCTCTTTTTCCAAATTGTCTATTAAAGGTTCAGTGTGTATGTTTTAGTGGCATCTAATGTTGAGGGTTGTGAATTGCAAACAGTGGCTCACGGTACATTCACATGCTCTTCAAATGGTCCCATTTCCTGAGCTGTGAAATCGTTCTTCTGACTTCAGTGTTCATGTGCTCTTAAGTCAGAATGCGGAATCAACATGACCACATCTACAAAGAGGTGTTGGATTAACATTACCAGAGTATATAAACAACACCCAGACATCTAGTTCACTCTACATGGACAGCAAACTAACCGTTATAACCATATTACAAATCAGCAAAAAAACATTCTGATTATTCCCACACCACATGAATACACCATCAGTCACTGCTCTCCCTTCAAAAGCATGCAGGAGAAGCTATGGTGGCCAACACGCTCTGTCAGTTCTCGTGCTAAATAATGCATGAGGGCCTCCATTTGTCCAAATTTCACTTATTTTCTTAGACCACTACTACTTCTACTACCGCTACTTCTTGCTCTCACTTTGACTCTGAACCTCAGAGTACAATACCAAGAGTGCCTTCAAGGGCAGACCATCCAAAAGGTGTGTACTAGTGGTCTATATGTGACTACTTGAGCTATTAAGGTATCGCTTCACTACGAATGAAGAAAAGGAATTATTACAGAAACTAGTAACTTTCAGCAGTGACAAAACTATAGAATCTGTCCACTGCCCTTTCCTCAAACCCCACTCACCATGTTGTTGACATTTTTGAGGATGGTGGTGAGCCCACTGATGACGAGGGAGAACTTGTACTTGGAGATGTTGATTAGACATTCCTTGTTGTGCTCTGTGCTGACTTTGGTGTGGGTGTTCTGGTGTCCAACTTTAATGGGAAGCTGAAGGAAAAGAAAAGAGAGGATGACTATGCAGTCGACAGCTGTCAATATTAAATTACAGCTAAGTGAATTTACTTGCATATGCTCCTAAAAACAGATATGTGCGAACCGGAAAAATTATTTACAAGTGAGTAGAGACTACAACCTACTTTAATCTTTTCCATTGCCATCAAAGAAACTGATATTTCACATTAAACCCCTTCCAGCAGCTCAAAGGGCACAGTCCATCCCTTTCCTGAAAGGCTTTTAATGTGAAATGCCTCCATAAGTATTGAGTTTAACTGACAATAGTTTAAAAACTAGAAGCGACTTTGAAAAAAAATTACAAAATTAGTTTGTTGTACCATTGATTTTGGGGTGGGGGGCAAAAAATTAAAACTGAATGTAGCATAACTGTAGTAAGCTCCATCAGGCAGTAACTTCAGCGGTATAAATGTCGAAGACAAACGGAGAAGGTGACGAAACACCACATATCTGTAACATGCCCGCGACACTAGTAGTTTTGGGGTTCTAACATCCCCACTGAAAAAACCTTTTAGGCAAAACACTAGTACTGATGCACTGCTGTGGAAATGGACTGGACACAATTGTGTGATGAACTAAAATTACTTTATTTCTTTATGTTAGCCAAGTCATAGCCTGTTGATCATGATCATTTACAGTAAATATGAATACAGTTTGGACCACTTGTGAAATATCATGTCATTTGAAGTTGTACAACTCCGAGCACAAATGTTAACTCAGTTATGCCATGGTAGTGCCTTTGTCACAATGTTTGAACTTCCAGTAGATATACTGCAGTGTGGCTGACTGAACAATGCTTCATGTCTCTCTACTTGGCCTTCATGTTATGCTACTAATGGTCCATCTGCATCAATGTTGCTGAATTCCAGAAGCATTTTACTAAAAAATTATGTCTCACAAAAATCTCTTCTTTTTAACTGATCATAGTCTCTCTCCACAGTGATGCATGAGACAATAAAACTTTTTCATCAAATCAGCAAGCCTTATGCAACTGATCACAACACAGGAAGCAAAGACGCGTTCAAACATTATGGCCTGCTGAGAAACATCAGGCAGTGAGGGCTGCAACTTAGAATATTTTTCATTATTCATCATTAATCATTTGGTTTACAAATTGTCTGGAAAGTCTTGTTTTGTTTGACCACTGTTGTATAATTATGGTAAAAGTGTGGTGGATGTAAAAAAAATAAAACTAATCTGTTATTTTGTGATGACAAAACACTGAAGCTTTATTAAATTCCAAACTAATTTGCTTAATTTTTTCCTAACTGCCTCATCTGAATATTTCTCTCATATTCGAGTTTTGTCAAACAATTTGCAGCTGGTATGTTGACTCTATACAATCCTCTCGGTTCCATCGTAAAACAGGCCATGGTTCTGTTTGCAGTCCAGCGCAGCACAGCGAGGTCAGTGAGCGCTTTGTTTCACACAGCTAGGCCTAACCATTCCTCTGAAGATCACACATACACTCAGTGTTCAGTTTATATTGTTATTAAAGCAACAATAACTGGTCATTTAATCTTAAAATAACAGCTTCAAAATAATTTTGATGGTAAGCTGACTAGAATGGCGTCTCTGTCATTGCCACTCCAGGCTCGGAGCTACTGATACTGCATTGCATCGGATTGTAACATTGGTAACCCAGGCAGGAAATCTATCATGCCCATGCTTCACAGCACCACATCACACACCAACAAGACTCTTCGGCAAACTAGCTGGTTCCCTTACAGTATCTCACAAAAGTGAGTACATTTTTGTAAATATTTGATTTTGTCTTTTCATGTGATAACAGTGAAGATATGACACTTTGCTACAATGTAAAGTAGTGAGTGTACAGTTTGTATAACGTGATGTCTAAAGATTCTCAATCATCCAGGTCCTAGTTATCCAAAGAAGGTTAAAGACAAGGGCAACTGGACTTGGTTAAAGATACTAGAAGACGTTTCGTCCCTCATCCAAAGGACTTCTTCAGTTCCGACTGACTGGTAGGGAAACTCAACTATTTAACCTCAGTGGGGTCCTTTGCCAGGATTGTTAGTGGTTCGTTAGTGTTCCTGGTTGTTGTAACGACAGTCGTTATGGTCGTTAGTGCTACCTGAGGCCAAGACTGAACGACCATCGTTGGCATCTTCGCCTGAGGCCAAGAGGTTACGTTTGTTGAGTTTCCTGGGAAGTGATGAAAGGACTGCATTGTAAAGTGGGGGATAAGTGGTGGCGTAGACCCCCTCCTCTGTTCAGCGACGGCTTCTCAAATCGGGTGTAGATGGCTTACTTGACACCTTCTTTCAAACCATCCATCTTCTCTGTCTAAAATGTGCATCTGGTGGTCCTCAAACGACTGTCCTCTGTCCTTCAGATGTAAGTAAACTGCAGAGTCTTGGACTGAGGAGTTGGCCCTTCTGTGTTGAGCCATGCGTTTGTGTGGTGGTTGTTTAGTCTCCCCAATATACAGGTCGGTGCATTCCTCACTGCATTGGACAGCATACACTTGATTGCTTGTCTTGTGCTTTTGGGTGCGGTCTTTGGGGTGTACCAGCATCTGTCTTAGCGTGGTCTTGGGTTTAAAAAACACAGGGATGTTGTGTTTGTTGAAAATCCTCTCGAGTTTCTCTGATACTCCAGACACATGGAATCACAATCTTGTTGCGTTTGACCTTCTTTTCTTCATCCCCTGTAGTTTTGTTCTTCCTGGATCTTGTGGCTGTTTTCACAAAGGTCCATTTAGGGTATCCACAGGCTGCAAGTGCCCCCTTCAGGTGTTTCTGTTCCTTCTCTCTGGCTTGGGCACTTGTTGGTATGTTTTCCGCTCTGTGGTGCAGTGTTCTCCTAGCTTATGCTCCAGTGGGCCTGCTTGATTTTGCTGACATGTTAAGATTTTGTTGATTTGGTAATCAGTGCTTGCTTTTGTGCTTCTTCTATGATTATGTAGGCTATGTATCCAAATTATTCTTTTTTTGTCCGATTTACCTGTGTTTTTTCTTGATTTATGATCGGGAGAATGCACAGTGTTTTATTTTGAAAATTAATCGGGTCTATGCCGTTTTCTGTCTGACTTCCTGCCCAGTTCAATCTGCTCTGTGCAGCTTTACACAGCTTAAGTCAAAAATAGACTTGTGTATTCTTTGCGGAGCTGAGCCAAGAGCTGCATCTGGCACATTTCTGGGACGCGTTACTGCGGTGTCTGATGGACTCCCAAGCACTGACTAGAAGGGCCACGACCAGCTCTGGCAGCTGCAGCGTAGTGGACGTTGCAGTCTACTCTGGACTGTAGCAGCAGGAGGGTGCACGTGCAGCCAAATCGCGCCCTTGGCAGTAAGTTTGGGAAGCGCTTGATTTGATAAGCAGCATAGTTTTCCATGAGCAGAGCACGGATTTCAAACAGCAATATCGCCGTTGATCATGTTCATTTAATTGTGGGAAGCTAAAATTGTAATTCCGATCAATATTCGATTAATTGTGCAGCCCCAACCCCTTGGGGTGCATGAGCTGCCTCTAGGGCGTGCGTGACAGGAAAAATGTAATGGTCATGTGGTAGTGTAATAACTACCTGCAACAATTTGTGGACATTTTCATTAAATATCCAGCGTAGTCTGCAGAAGCCGAAGATTGCTTGGGTGGGTGATTTGCAGGCTGATCAACATCCTGTGACCCATGGTTTGACTGGATGTGTATTCAGAGCCAGTGAACAACGGACTTTAAAAATAATAATAAAACTGTTTTAACGTGGCGTTTATTAATTAATGCCATATTTTATTCTTATTTATATATAAATTTTTTTTTTTTTTTTTATGGCATGCTGTTTAGGAAATAATATATAGATATGAAGTTTACCCATCTGAATATATTGATTGAAAGTCTGAATAAAAGTCAGAATATGTGGAATGGAAGTCAGAATATTTTGAATGAAGTATGAATATATTGATTGAAAGTCTGAATAAAGCTGTGTTCGAAACGGAAGGTAGTTGCCTCGCTGCCTCGATACCGTAATAGACAGCTGCCTCAGAAGGCATCACTTTCAAGTGAAGGCAGCTCTGTTTACATTAGTTTCAAACAGCCTTCTAGGGCAGCACTTAAGGCAACGTGTGACGTCAGCACGCCGTCTTGCGTCTCTTCTGGCTGTCAGAAGAGACGCTAGCCTTAGCATCAGCTAACTAGCTACTGAAAAGCCAAATGGCTAACAGACGCCTCAGAAATCATACTGAACAAACTTGGTTGGTTACAGTCACAAGCTAATATGATAGTTCAGTGTTAAGTTCTCGCTAGATTTTCAAAAATCGAAGCGAGAAAACTACTAAAAACCTTTAAAAACGTATATTTGTGTACAAATTCGGCTCGTTTGTCCGCCAACTTGACCAGTTTTCGAAAGCTCCGGCGGCCGCAGACGCGCTGCTTTATGGGTAATAGTCAGCATCAAGTCATCATTGATGCTGCCTTCAAAACTGGCCGTTACTGGGGCAGCCTGAAGGTATCTCAGGAGACAGGAAGCACTCGATGCCTCACTGTCCTGTTAGACACCTTCTGAGACAGCAGTTTAGCCCGTTTCGAACACAGCCTAAAAGTCTGAATATATGAAATGGAAGTCAGAATATATGGAATGGAAGTCAGAATATATGGAATGAAAGATAAATATATTGAATGGAAGTCTGCACATATGGAATGGAAGTCTGCACATATGGAATGGAAGTCTGAATATATTGAATGGAAGTCTGAATAAACTGAATGGAAGTCTGAAAATACTGAATGAAAGATGAATATACAGGTGCTGGTCATATAATTAGTATATCATCAAAAAGTTGATTTATTTCAGTAATTCCATTCAAAAAAGTGAAACTTGTATAATGTATACATTCATTCCACACAGACTGATATATTTCAAGTGTTCATTCCTTTTAATTTTGATGATTATAACTGACAACTAATGAAAACCCCAAAATCAGTATCTCAGAAAATTAGAATATTGTGAAAAGGTTCAATATTGAAGACACCTTTTGCCACACTCTAATCAGCTAATTAACTCAAAACACCTGCAAAGGCCTTTAAATGGTCTCTCAGTCTTGTTCTGTAAGCCACACCATCAAGGGGAAGACTGCTGACTTGACAGCTGTCCAAAAGACGACCATTGACACCTTGCACAAGGAGGGCAAGACACAAAAGGTCATTACTAAAGAGGCTGGCTGTTCACAGAGCTCTGTGTCCAAGCACATTAATAGAGAGGCGAAGGGAAGGAAAAGATGTGGTAGAAAAAAGTGCACAAGCAATAGGGATAACCGCACCCTGGAGAGGATTGTGAAACAAAACCCATTCAAAAATGTGGGTGAGACTCACAAAGAGTGGACTGCAGCTGGAGTCAGTGCTTCAAGAACCACCACGCACAGACGTATGCAAGACATGGGTTTCAGCTGTCGCATTCCTTGTGTCAAGCCACTCTTGAACAAGACACAGCGTCAGAAGCATCTCGCCTGGGCTAAAGACAAAAAGGACTGGACTGCTGCTGAGGGGTCCAAAGTTATGTTCTCTGATGAAAGTAAATTTTGCATTTTCTTGGGAAATCAAGGTCCCAGAGTCTGGAGGAAGAGAGGAGAGGCACAGAATCCACGTTGCTTGAAGTCCAGTGTAAAGTTTCCACAGTCAGTGATGGTTTGGGGTGCCATGTCATCTGCTGGTGTTGGTCCACTGTGTTTTCTGAGGTCCAAGGTCAACGCAGCCGTCTACCAGGAAGTTTTAGAACACTTCATGCTTCCTGCTGCTGACCAACTTTATGGAGATGCAGATTTCATTTTCCAACAGGACTTGACACCTGCACACAGTGCCAAACCAGTACCTGGTTTAAGGACCATGGTATCCCTGTTCTTAATGGGCCAGCAAACTCGCCTGACCTTAACCCTAGAGAAAATCTATGGGGTACTGTGAAGAGGAAGATGCCATACACCAGACCCAACAATGCAGAACAGCTGAAGGCCGCGATCAGAGCAACCTGGGCTCTCATAACACCTGAGCAGTGCCACAGACTGATCGACTCCATGCCACGCCGCATTGCCGCAGTCATTCAGGCAAAAGGAGCCCCAACTAATTATTGAGTGCTGTACATGCTCATACTTTTCATGTTCATACTTTTCAGTTGGCCAACATTTCTAAAAATCCTTTTTTGTATTGGTCTTACGTAATATTCTAATTTTAGGAGATACTGAATTTGGTATTTTCATTAGTTGTCAGTTTTAATCATCACAATTAAATGAAATAAACATTTGAAATATATCAGTCTGTGTGTAATGAATGAATATAATATCCAAGTTTCACTTTTTGAATGGAATTACTGAAATAAATCAACTTTTTGATGATATTCTAATTATATGACCAGCACCTGTATGAAGTGAATGGAAGTCAGAAGATGTTGAATACAAGTCTGAATATATGGAATGAATCTATGGAATGAAATCTAGCGTCATTGCCACATCTTGTGTTTCAGTATCAAATGTGACACTGTGATATACAGAATCAGTAAGAATGTGTCCAGTGTCAGCAATTTTGAGCAACGAAGAGATTATAAACACACTGGCGAATGCATGTATGAGCCAAAATACTGGAAACCCGATTAAGAAACTTATTCTTTCATCGTGGAAGACCAAATGCAGGAAACCTCCCAGGTAGGGCTGGGTATCGTTCAAAGATTTTTTAAGATCAATATCGATACCTCGACTTCGATACTGGTTCCTGAACAAAAACTCATCTCATGGAAACGAGTTTCCTCCAAGTTTCCTCCTCACTAGAGGAAGAGGTGGCCAGGCAACTACAATAACACAACAACAACTATCACATAAGAAAGTAAACTCAATTGGGCGTGTCTTTATTCCACTGCAGCAAAGTCGCAGACATCAGCCCAAGGATCGCTATGTGGCGTCACTTACTGATCCTTCAGACATGCTTGGGAAAATGTAGCGTAGAGCACTGAGATGATGACTGCGCCGGCTGTCTTGTTGCAGTCAAAGACGGAGCAACTTTCTGCTCTTCCATGCACAGTTTATTCCATGCACAGTCAAGGGCTTCACCTGGTTTGTCGTGTCGCCGCTCTTGGCAGCAATTATCTTACATTGCAATATTGCATCGCGCACTGTTGCATCAAGCCTGGTGCAATGCACGCTTTTGATTTTCTCCACGTCTTTTACATCCATGAGCCATGGCTCTGTGCCTAATTCAGCGTGAACTAGTGTTTACATCATCACAGCCAATTACAATCATTTTTAGATTTGGGCACATCAAGCATGCTGCATGCTTATTGGCTCATTGACGTCGAAATTTGGTACCGAAAACCGAAACCAGACATTTTTTGATACTTGATGGTATTGAGGCAATTTGGTCGGTGCCTAAAAAGTATTGAGCTCGATACCCAGCCCTACTCCCAGGTCAGGTAGTTTATCAGGCAAACGGAATGCCTTTAACCTCACAAGTGCCGGTGCCCCCCCACCCACCCCTAACAGCCCATATCAACAACCTTCGTCTGTCCACCCAAAGGGGCTCAGGACACAGGCAGTAACAACAGAATTGAATGTATCTGAATTGTTGTTTAAAGAGTAAGATCATGTGTTTAACCAGAAGTGGCTGTTATATTGCTCACATAGTGTCAAAGTCATGTTACTACACACGCGGTAAGATATTTCAAGGTGAAAGTACTTGAACACACACACACACACACACACACACACAAACAGGATTAAATAACCTAAAAAACCTACATGGGGAAATAACATCGGTTAGAGGCTCCGAATTTCGGTTTCGATTACTTTTCAATTAATTGTCCAGACCTAGTGGAGGAATATGTAGCTGCAGTACCGGAAGCTGCAATTTCAGGACCAGAACTGCATTTGAATGGACCCTTGTATTCTTTGATACTGCGAACTACCTGGCTATGTTACTCTTCACAGCCTCCCGAAGCCAATTACCCTTACGGTAACAATCACAGGGTGTGTGCCTAAACCTAAGTTATTGATTATATGCATGTCGACAGGTTAACCCCGTCTGCGCAGCTGAAGGTCGACTCCTTCATGTTGCTGTGCATTACCACCACCAATCCACTAGATGACGCTGTCGCAAAAGAACTACGGTCCAAGAACTGCTGTACCAGGACTGTGGGGCTCCTGAAAAATGCAGCCTCCAGTACTGCAGCTATATAATATTGCCATTGTGACCGATCAAGAGACCAGGTGGCAAGCTAGCAAATAAAGCTAGCCAGCAACCGATACAAGAGCACTTAGAGTAACGTTACCAATGCCCAAGTGTGTTATCTAGTAAGTTCAATCAACTCAAGGTTTATAGCTAGCGGCAAGTGACCGAGTAACATTATGTAACTTCATCATAAAATAACAGCTGGTGTAGAGCAGGCAATGTAACCAGGCTCAGCAGCCACTATGGACGTAACATTAGCTAATAACAGGTGAAGAGAGACAAGAGGATGTTGACCGAGGAAGCTAAAAAGAGAAAAGGAGGGTGACCAAGCAAGAGGCTGCCGAACGTTGGCGAGAGCTTTGTGAAATAAAAGGCAGTAGGGCAGTTTGAATATGGCAAAAATCATAAACATTTATTATTTTGGTCATAAATGAAATCACAATTATTAACACAATTACAGACCGATTTAGCTTAAAGAGGTCATATTGTGCTTTTCGTCTTTTTCCCTTTCCTTTATTGTGTTATATACAGGGTACAAGTTAAAGTTAAGACTTTTTAAAGACCACTCAGAATGAAATTTAATGCCAACTTCACAGCCATACTGGCAAAAATATGAAGGATATAATGGAAAATCTGTATGGATTTTATGCCCTAGAAAATAATTATTTACCAAGTATTTGAATTTAATAAAACATTTTATTGTAAGACATTCACATTTAATAGACATTAGCCTTGTGAGGTGTGTAATAACATAAATTAAAAAATATGCGTATTTGTCACATTAAGAGCCAACACTGCTCACTATTGCCTCACATACCACCTTTTGGTCATACAAGCGTCTACGTGAACTGAAGCTGATCAGGTAAAAAAAAAAAAGTAGGCAGAGCATGCATTATGATCAGAAAGTGCAGCAATCCCCCATGCAGCTATAGTGTCTGTCTGTGAATGTCACTAGACACAAGAGCCTACAGTCTTCGGAGCTCTGTTCCCTCGGCTGCAATCTGTTCATTCAGGTTCTTAAGCTCAGCCAACTTCTCCTTGTGGCTTCTTCTGAAAGCATTGGACTTAGTAATGAGCTCTGCCATTGTAGCATGCCCTCAGCATCTCTGGCAAGACCTTTAGACACTTTCTGGAAGGCTCTTTGCCTCATATTCATTCTTTCTTCTCTCATTCTCAAGATTGATTCCGTATCTGGTCCTGGCTGCTGTCACAGAGGACAGGAGCTCCGGTGTGAGGGGGACCTTAATAACCACCCCATGTAGCCACACATAATCATAGATAATTCTATGTTCAATGACGGTGTCCTCCTGGATATTACAGATTTCAACTTCTTTGTTGATGGAGACCCGCCTCTCCACTGCAGCCTGGCCATGAGAGAGGAGCAAAAGTTTTTGGAGGAAAGCCCAGAGCTCTGGGTAGCGCTCACTGATGAAACGATGAAGGAACATGTCCAGCCTCTTCTCCATGGGCTTGAAGAACAGGAACTCCAGGGACACGAACTGTGAAAACTGCTGGATGATTAGATCATCTATAGAAAGAGTGAATAAACAAGTATTTCAAAGTAGTAATATTGATATTAAAATACAGACATATATAGATAATATAATCAATAATCTAATAATATGTTTGTGGGTTGTACGGTTGTAAGTTAACATGTTAATCATAAAAATAATGTAATAATAATTATGTACCAGCTGCAACACCTCCTGCCAGCTGCTTGTCTTGGAGAAACTTTTTGACTAGGCACTCATTTGTCTCACAGTCGGGTAAGTCAAGAGGCTCTTCTCTTGAATCTTCTTCACCATTCTGGATAGACCCTCCATACATTCTGGACTGGAGGACAGAAAGCTCCCCTACGATGGGTCTACTCTGCCTCTGGAGCTCCTAAAGATGTAAATAGGCACTAACTTAAGTAAATGTTCTCCTCTCCCTCCTCTATTCTGCCAGCGGATCTAGTGAGAAGACTGGCCAAGTAATTTCCACACACATGATTCTTTCCACAATACATTTTCAACAGACTCTGCTCCAATACCAGTGTCAACAGCCCTCGGATGAACCCTTGACTGCTTGTTGGTGACATCAAGCCGGACCATTTGTAGAGGCGTGACATCACAGAGAAGTTCTCTCTTGGTAAATCTTCTCAGCAAACTCTGCAAAGACAAAAAATACATATTATTAGAGAATAAAAACAAGTTAATAATACTCACATCACCATCATTGTCTTAGAAGGCCAGAATTGTGTTTTCAATCCTCATTGTATTGTTTTTAATGTAAGCTATGTAAATGTCTGTATTCCTGGGCAGCAGCTTTATTATTTATTTTTATATATTATCAAAGAAATTAATCAATCACTCAGTCAGTCTCAGCAGTAGTGCTATGTGCTAGCTGTGAATGAAGGATGATTAAAAATCATATTCACAGTGCAATGAAAGCATTCACCTCACCTTCAGCAGCTCAGCCAGGTCGTTTCCAATGTAAAGCAGCACAGGCTCATCAGTCTGGTACTTGGTGAGGAAAGGTGTCATGCTTCGTGAGACCGCCGTGAAGAAATGCAACTTGGATGGGATGAGAGGGTCTTTGGTTGCCGCTGCAATGGTGTCGTAGGAGGAAGTCCCAGGGTGAGGGAGCTTTTTGGTTGTGACAGCCTCAACATACTTCATCATGTCCGGCCAGATGACGAGGCCCCTATCCACCACTGGGAGGTTCGCGACCCCGCGGTGGCCACAGAAAGGCAGAGCGAAGACTTTGGATTTAGTGAGATTACAGAAATCCTGTCTTCTTGCAAGCACTTTGTGGAAAACTGTGTGCAGGGCCCTGAGAAACTTCTCTATGTGCCAATCAGTGAATCCACACTTGAAGGCATTATGGAGAGTATGGAGACCGCAACTCCCCACCACTGCCAGCTGAGCATCCCCAAACTGTTCCACATGCTCCAGGAAACCAGGTGTGTTAAGCCTTGCTTTACCTGGTCCATGCTTTTAAAATATTCACCGCGTCCCTGTCTTCCAACATATTACGGGATTTACACTTTTCTCACCGTTGGTTTAAGTCAGTGCATATCCCCATAGAACACCACGGTTAATGTCAGCGTAATGTAATGAGGTTTCGTCAACTCAAATATTTCACCTGTCACCTGCTGTGCTCCACTCGACACACACACACACACACACATACAGCATTGCTGTCTTCCTCATGGCTCTAAGATGCTGTTTAAAGTTAAAAATACTCGATTACTAGCCTACTTTGGATAATCGTTTAAAAAAAAAAATGCATTCCATTTGAAAAGTTCTAAATAAATGCATGTTGTTTCCTCAAGTCAATCGGTAATGGTGATTGCAATTATGATCAAAATCATCATGATAATGATTTTTGCCATTTACAGCTGTACGTCTACAATAATATCTTAATTTTAATGATGTGTGAGCAGACATTATTAAAGGTTCAGTGTGTAAGTTTTAGTGACATCTAGTGGTGAGAGTTGCGAATTGCACCCCCTCCCTTATCCAAGCGAGTAGTTTAGTTACGGTGCCTGAGATGGGACAAAGGTGTCATCTATGAGATAGCAGAAAGTTACCAGTCAAGAAATCAGGTTGCTTTAGATAGATATATTAAGAAATTATGTTTAATTAATTATTCAGTTAAACTGAATATTATTGTTCCTTTTTTAACAGCCACATCAAGAAATTAATTGCTACATGATGTCTCATACTCCTGTAATACAGTATTTTACATCTTGGGAGGGTTTGCTCATCTGGAATAACATACCACAGTAAATCAAGAAATTCTCAAACACTATCACATCTAGTGCATCAAGTATGACCACTGACAGATAACAGGACAATATAAGTCTCACTGCACCACAGTCCATTAAAAAACACATAATACATGAAGTTTACAAAGGCCTAGTCAGGTGAGGATCAAGGCTCCTCTGGCTTTGCTTGATTAGATAAGCAATCTGTAAAACTTAACATGTCTTTTTTAATTTTTCAAAATACAACAGAAACACAAAGTAGCACTGACAGCCATTATTTCAGCTTTTCAGCAACGTTTTTACTGGGCATTTAGCATGTTAAAGAACAAATTACACATTTGTGTGCACAGTGGGAAGCAATATCCAATAACAATATAATGCAAATTCTGAAAGTATTCATTATTTGTCACTTGATAGACACACGGTCTTGTTTTATATCACCATTACCAGTAAAAAGAAATACATGTTTTCCACCAGGGCAGTAAAATGTGAAGTTTAGCTGCTGATCTGAGCTTCCCTGCTGTTTTATTGCCAATAATATTCATCATCTTTCTCAGGAAGGTAAGGACACATTTCTGTCCACGTAACAAAGCCATAACAGAGGCAGCAGAGGCAAGAACTACATTAAATTACAATCCAACTACATATTTTTTCTACCAGTGTAGTAAAGGTTTAGCTGTCTAAACTAGACAGCTGTAAGCTACCATTTCATTGCCAATTAGTGATCAGCTGATTGTATCAAGAACGTAACTGACAAAACCAAAACAGAGCTCTGGAGAGAGAGTCACTACATGAAATTAATGAAACTACATATTTTACACCACAAGCCAAAGCCAGCGCTGGAGAATAAACCAATGCAAGTAACCTTACGTGATTTTTCTACCAGGGCAGTAAAAGTTCAGCTGGCAGATGCTTCCATGTTCTAAGCTAACATTACGGTTTTATTTACTGATCAGCTGATTGTCTCGCTAACGTAACCGGCAAAGCCAACCCACAGGCTGGAGAATAAGTAGGCGACATGAAATTAATGCAAAGTTAGATATTGACAGGGGAAACACCTCACATGTCTCATGACTAGGGCTAGCTTCAAGCTAAAGCTAACAACAGCTTTCATTTGCATCGCTAAAGTCTGACAAACTTAAGTTAATTACCTGTCCAGCAGAAAACAGACAACTTCAGCACCGCTTTGAAAACATCTGTCCCACATTATAGCCTTCTATCTGGGAAAATCCACATCTGTGATTTTTTGCCATCATCTGTCTTTATTATTGTTATTATTTCCTCTTCTTCTTCTACAGACGCATTTAATGTAGTGACAGGCGTCAACACTGCCGGAATTATACAAGAAGAAGAAGAACACGGTGATGACGAAACACGCTCTGTAGTGCTATTTGTCCGTTGTCGGCTATGGTAGAAACATGACGACAAAATACAGCGACCTCCGTGGAAGGGGGTGCCCGCGGTTATGTAGATAAAATAACTGTCCATTATGTAAGAAAACATAGTCATGGATATTAAATTACATTTCTGTCAATAATATTTCAAGACCAGTCAAGATTATAACTTTGGGAATATTAATAAATTGCTTGTGCATTGTCTGATTTATTTGTTAAGATCCTAATTTTGTTTGGATGTAAAACTTATTGCTTCAAATGCAACCATTAACCCTAATTAAAAATGTGTTGTTACCATTAACGACTGTCACCCCTCCCCGCGATGATAAGCATGGAGTGTTGGTTTAAGATGCTTAAGTTGATTTCAGTTCTTAGTATTTGTATGTGGGTGTTTTAATAGGAATGTGGGTCGTTCAGATCAATTTGAAAAGTACCTATGATCTCGTTCCACATTTCATTGTGTGTCATGTAATGTGGGGAACTGGTCTTGGTCTTGACTCGGTCTTGCCCTCCCTCGGTCTTGATCTTGACTTGGTCTCCGTTTGTGCGGTCTTGACTACAACACTAGCTTACCCACAACCACGCTACTCTATACCACTCTATATCACCACCTTTATGTTGCAGAGAAAAATTGCACTGCGTGAGGTAAATGGTGATCACACCAGATACTGACTGGCTTCCAGACCCCACCACACCTCCAAAGTATAGTGGAACTGCACATTTTGGAGTGGCCTTTTATTGTGGCCAGCCTAAGGCACACCTGTGCAATCCCCATGCTGTCTGATCAGCATCTTAATATGCCACACCTGTGAGGTGGATGGATTATCTCTGCAAAGGAGAAGTGCACACTAACACAGATTTTGACAGATTTGTGAACAGTATTTGAGAGAAATAGGCCTTTTGTGCACATAGAGAAAGTCTTAGATCTTTGAGTTCAGCTCATGATGAATGGGGGCAAAAACAAAAGTGCTGCCTTTATAATTGTGTTCAGTGTATATATCGTTATCGGGATATGAAATTACCTTTACCAGGATATGAGATTTTAGTTATATCGCAAAGCCCTACTTCAAATGTTGAATACAATGTTCATGCGTAGGCCATGATGTCGAATGAATGTCACTCCAGATCATGTCAATGTAATATTTTCCAAATATGTTCCACGACTTTTCCAAAACCTTTTGTGTTTTTCTATTTTGAAATTCCATGTCTTTGTCATGACCATTTGAACTCAGTCAGTGTAAATATCAGATAATGATTAAAAATGCTCCCGATCCAAAGGATTGGGCTGGGACACCCCGAACATTTTTCTTCATGAGCCACAATGCCAGACAGTTTCTTTACACAGTGAGTTAACAGTTCACATTCCTCAAGTTGTGTCAGGAGCACTCACATCATTTATTGCAGATCACTTGGCTGTGACAGAGTTGGCAGTGAGGACATAAACAGGATGTGGGCCATTGTACCTATGAGCAATGTACTGTACTTGACACAATTCTGCTTGGCCCTTCAATTTTCTGCTTACAGTTAAATTTACCTAAAAATGTGCGACAGCTATTGAAAAGGGAAAAAGCAACTTTAACTCTAAAAGCCTTTGCAGACCAATTTATTTTTCATCCAATTTGTTGCACATTTAAAAGATAACCACAACCTCACGTCAATCATGTATACACACCAACTCTGAAAAAGAAAAGGTCATGAAATGTGGCTGAAATCCTCAGAAACACCAAGTAAGTGGTAACTCAAATATTTAAATAATGTTACTATTGAACTCATGTTCAATGTCAGTAATGTATGTAAGCAGAGTTTCCCCTATATGGATTCAGGAGCTACTAAAATTTCACACAATCATTATTATACCAATGCGCTACTACTTTTCACTCTCACACTATGCGAGCACAGTAACACTCATCGCTTGGCTAGCTTCCTCTCCTCATGCTTCAAAGGACATCTACATTACATGACAGGTGCTGTTATAAGAGCAGCGTAACTCTGAAAGAAAGTGACAGTGAACGCGAGCGGAGGAAAATATTCATATTCTGCCAGTATGTGTATGTGTCGGTTACAGTGTGTTAACCAAGAAAAGTCTATCTGTTGTTTCCCCAACTGCTGGAAAAGTGAAGCCTGTTTGAAGCCTGTTTGTGCTAGCTAACATCTCCCCTCCGCTTCAGACTGCGCAGCAGAGCAGGAAAGTATGTAGGCTAACTTACGTCTTTTTGCAGCTATGCAAGTTAACATTAGCTCAATTTATAGAAAGTAACTGGTAGCTGTATTTTATCACTACCTACTTGTCCAATGTTGAGAACATCATGTGTAGCGAACAGCTCTGCACTGTAGCCCACAGACAGGTACATCCTAAATTATTTTTCAGTTTTAAGTTGAGTCTGAAAAAGTGGTTGTTAGGAAAATAAAGGACGGTGGTGACTGGAAGATCTGAGTTTAGTAAAGGAAATTAGTGATGCAAACTAATCCTAAACTAATGAGTAGACGTTTCTTTTTGGATTTGTGCGCAAATAAAATGCACCTCAGAAGGGAGGTTGTTTCTCATGTTGCCTATTTTTATTATATTAATGTCTACAGATAAATGTCACAATCTGTAAAATGAAGAAACAAAAGGCAAACATGAACAATCGTATCTATAATGATTCTGAGGTTATATTAACAGGGTTTTTGTGCGTGATGCCCAAAACATGGTGTGCCATAAATGTAAAATCACTGTGGAGCGCATCACAGCCAGCCAAATTACTTTCCTGAAATCTAAAGGTTGTAGTTCCTCCCCAGTTGACTGATCTTTGGCTGTTGTTTATTTATTATCTGCTCGAGCTTTTCCAACTATTTGTTCAGCGATATGGTGAAAGTAATGGCCCAATATGATGTGAAATTACACATTTTTCATTGGAAAATTAGACATTTTCTTGGGGGAGGACACCCAAATCCCCCGACTCCCCTGACCATGACTAAAGCTCATGTACAACTATGGGAAAACACTGAAATTTTAACCTATTCTAATGTGCATCGCATGCTCATGGACACAAGAGCAATGCTGCTGAGACATGTTGTGTTGGGGTTTTATATTCAGACATACTACACACTATGCGCACAAAAGAATTTCGCTTCACCTCTGCTGCTACAACTCCATCCTCAGGGAAACACTGGTAAGTGTGCACTGTGGAGTTGTTCTATGCAGATATACATTTGACAGGTCAATAGCAGTGCATCGCACTTAGTATTAGCAAATGTTAAAAGACTGACCATAAGGGCACAAGAAAACCTGAACCTAACAAGATTTTTTGAAATCCATATTTTCTGAATGGCTGGCAACTTAACTTCATTGGCTTTGTTAATTCTAATGTGAAGCTGTATTCTGTAGAAAATTTAAAAAGTTATGAAATTCCAAATATTAACTATACTGTTAGAACTGTAGTTATCTCAATTCACCAAACACAACAGATGATGTTCAGCTTGTTAACAAGAAAAAAATGTTTTAGCATCAACACTAAAACAGCATATTTATTGAGAGGAAATATAAAGGGACTGCTTTAGTTGGGGCTTAGGATAACCATAACAAAGAAGTGGATGTAACACCTTAAGCCAACGGTAGTAATCCAAACTGAGACGCTAAACCCCAGCTACAGTCTTTGATCTGTGGCAACTAACAGCTGACCCACAGACTTCTGGAGACTAAACGAAGCTAAAGGACTTACAAATGGCAAACACAACTTGATTGAGTGCACACAAATTCAAGCCTTTATGGTAAATTTACTGAAATGGCACAGAGCGAGCTGACAGGCAGGTTAGCGAGTTTATCCTGTCAGTTTGTCTCTTTACAAAGACAAGCGTTGCAGTATCAGAGTCCTACCTGAAGAGAGGCTGGGAAGTCTTCATGTTACGCCGTACAAGAACCACATACAACATTATTTATCAAACTGGGTTGGACTTGATAAATTCAGCGTGAGGACACACATGTGACAATGTCCGGTTTTCAAAATAAGGTGACTATACAGGATGGAAATATGATTAATTTGATTATATTCACAGAAAGGTCAAAACATATTACATGTGTCCATTAAAAGTAAACTTTTCTTTACCAGACCCTCTCGGGCCTCTGACCCACCCACCATAGTCTCTGCAAATCCTGTGGGAAACACTGAGTAAAAAGCACATTTTGACTATTTAATTTATGCAATAAAAAATAATAAATAAAATAAATAGGAAATAAAAGGTTAAAAACCTTGCTCGGTATTCTGTATTCGGGAAAGTTTTTCACCATATTTGGTTTCAGCTTCGGACAAGCATTTTGATTTTAGTGCATCCCTAATGTTTTTATTAAATAGGAAGCCTACATAGCTTAACTCTTACAGAGGGTTCTTCTGTTTATGACCGTCAGTATCATTTTACAACAGATGATGCAGACCGTGCTGATATGTCCCAATAAAAACACTCCACTATGAGTACGTGAAAATTCTGTGTCATCTAAATTGTTATCTAGAAATTCCTATAAAAAATGACGTCTCACTGCTGTTTATCTTGCCATATGAAGCAGACAAGCTGCCAGCGGTTGTTCAGAATTGTGTTAGCATGGAGAGGGACGTTTCCTCGCATCCCGGTCCTTTCGTTTGCTCATATGAACGCAGTGTGCTAACCCACTCACATCTTATTTGTTTACATTAGATAGCTAGGCCTGCTAATGTTAGCTGCCTAGCTGGCATGAGGAAAACGTTAGCTAATCGACTTTCACGTTAATACACAGATTCACAGACGCCTGCCAAGTTTTAAATGTCCCTGACATACTTTACTGAGTATTATTCTGCAGTCCATCGGTTAAGTCCGTACATATACCAGGACAAATGTGGGATAACGTTAACTGTGCTAATTGATCGTGGAGACGGCGCTAGCGAAAAAAGACCTCATCTTCAGTGTTTAGCATCTGAAACAAGCAATACAGAACATTTCAGTCGCGAAACTACTTCTGACCGGAATACGCTCCTGGTTCGTTTTTATAAAAGAACCTCGTCTGTGTAAATGTAACCGGAGTGATGGGGCCTCAACCCTACCAAAGGTTGCTACACCCATCCACTGAATCAACCCATCTTACCTGCTCATCAAATCTAGTAATCACGGCCTGGACCCATTCCACTGGTTTGTGAGCCGCCATGGCCGGGCGGAGGGACACCGCAACACTGTGCTGGTAAATCCAAGGTATGAGGCTGGAGCGGACAGGCTTACTTATGCATCAAAATATGTCCTGAGCCGATGGGAAAGGACGAAAGGGGCGAATATTTTTCCCTTTCTGTAGGATTCACCATGCCACCGCCATGACACACCACCGGAAGTCTTCTTCAGAGAAATTAATGGGAGGTGTTGGACACCAGGTCAAGCTAGCTGAAATGAAAAAGGACACTTCCAGGCACACTCTTCAAAGTAACAATTGTTTAAGAAACGTTTTAGAAATAATAAATACATATGCATATGTGAAATAAAAACACTTGAGAGATTAAACCTACCCTATCCTAAAAAAAATAGAAACTAGAAATCCCTCTGTTTGCTCAAGTTGTTTTATTCTAGCTAGTTAAAGCGGCTCACATCTGATGTTACAAAAACATCTGGATTCACAGCCATAACCCCATATGGTACTTCATTAGATCTTCTGCTCAACCAACTGCAACCGTTTTTAAAATGACGTTCTTTTGTTTTATTTTGAAGTAAGATTTTCCTCACTTCTGCTACTACTGTAGAAAACTCAACAAATTGACGTTTTGAGCGCATGCGTCAAGTCGATCAGGCGTATCAGAATGTTTTCACAACTAAGAGTGGATTTAATTGTTGTCATTAAAAATTGTTAGTCCTTCTAAAAGTTTTCACAAACATAAATGCACACAATTCCAATTTTACACTTTCCCTCTTTTTTGTGTTTTATGCACCATATTTGGGGGGGGGTCAAGTAATTGGTGGCACTATGGCAGTGTGTATGGGGGGGCTATGGGCCTACATGTGGTCTTCTAGATTGCAAGCTTTATTTGACACTGACACATACATACCAGCTACCCACCCCCGCCCCGACACATACACACACTATTTAAATTACAACAGTAATCTAGTTAAACAGAACAAGAGGAACATGGCTTGCCACTTTGAGTGGTCGCAAAGACTAGAAAGGCGCTATACAAATACAGACCACTTACATTTTCAAATCAGGCTTTTAACTTTAGTTTAATGCATTTTAGGGGAATTTTTGAACAATGTAAAACACCAGTGTTGTTACTCCCAAAATGTAATACATTATAGATTAGGCTATTAGTTATTTGAGAGTAATTAGTTACATTGCAATATTACTGTCTGTGAATTATAATGCTTTACACTACTAAGTACTACGTTACTTTCACCAAAATAACTAAATATGACTTTGTATTGTAAAATGCTAAACTTTACATTATAGAAGGTCATTATACATCCAAATGAGTGCAATGTGGCAAGCCCGCCATCAGGGGGGTCAAAGGGTACAGATGACCCCGGCCGAAGGCCCAGGGGGGGCCCATGCAAAGGTCTATGGTTGATCCTTAAATGGGATAAAATACAACACTTTACTTACTGTCTTATGTGAATAACTTTTTAGATGTTTTTACATGATAAATGTATTATTATCATTACAACATATACAACTTGTCATCTGATAACCCACCCCCCGCTGTTATTGTGATAATGGTACAGTCAAAACATTTGGCCATTCAGATGTGTTGGATCTGCAAATGTAAAGCGAGTCGCTTTAAGCGAACACTGCAGCCTGTCGGGCCCAAAAAATTAAAGCCAAAACACACAGAGAAAAATAAAATCATAAGGAGGCAATGGCAAAAAAAATGTGTTAAGAAGCACCATGTAGCCTATGTATGACAGGCAAAGGTGAGGAGCTAACAGTTTGGCAGACTAGCAATGCTTTAGCTTGCTTAACCTTTATGACACCAGAGCTGCCAACTCTCAGGCATCAAGAGACTCCTGCAGTTGACCATTTTAACATGCTCTCAAGCTACACGCAGTGAGAAACAAATGTATAACTGATAATAACGAGTAGACGAGAGTGAACTTCACCCAGTTGATGCACCACGGCATCTCAATAAATGACTAAAGGAGTTTTCCAAAATAAACAAATAAAATCTGTGCAAACTTGCTCTGTTTGGTGTAATGGCAGAAAATTGTGTCCTCTTACATTTAATCTTTTATGTATGATCTTTTAATATTATCATTATTATTACTATTCTCGTTATGGCTTATATATATGTAGTGTGTTTTTATCCTTAATCTTTCCTCTCCTATACTCCTTATGTTAGTCTGTCCACATTTACTAGGGTTTAGGTCAGAGCTGTGAGATTTTTCTTCTCTTGTTGTTTCTCTCCTCTCCTCGAATGTTCATTCAAGGCTGAGAGAGGATCTCTGTTCCCCAAAACATAGAAACCTAGACTGTGTAAATGATGATGCATCCCTTTGCTCGGGGCCAGACGCCCAAAGCTGCCCTAGGCAGCAGGTCTCTGGACCAGCTGTATATGTGTTGTAGTTCTCTGTTTATTCTCTTTTGTTAAATAAATTCTTCAGAGACAACAATTGGTTTTAACTCAATTCTTTACTTAATCCCTCACCAGCAAGATACAATTTCCATGACAAACAGCAGCCTCATAAATGAAAATAGCAACAGCAGAGGTCAGTAATAATACTGTAATAATGTAATAATGCTATGCAACATTAAATTAACATTAAATAGCTGTATTTCATCACTACCTACTTGTTTGGATTGTTACAAATACTTTGCTTTAAAAGTACCAAGTAGTCATGCAGTGAGAAAAATACATCTTTATCCTATTCGTTACCCCTCACCAGGAAAATAATTTCCATGACAATTTGGCACCCCAGATGGGATGGACGAGGGATTCGAAATCTGTTGAAGGACAGAAGCCGGCTTATTTTTGGAAAATCCTCCCAGTAGCGAGAAGCTGTGTTCAGCGGAGCCCTGGTCTTCGCTCCGTTCCAGAAAGAAAAGGAAAAGAACTTACATGGTGAGAAATTAGTAGATAATTGAGAAAAAAGATAAAGAGAGTGAGATTGAACAGAGTGAAGGAAGTGGTCTTAATTCTCGTGCCTGAATGATTTGCAGGACCCTCTGCCCGCTTTTAAATTGACAAGGGGGTGCAGAGTGGTACTGGATCAAAGTGGCTCGCGGACAGGACATGCCCTGGGTTTCTCTGTGGTGTCCGAGGGCTGTTGGGGTTTCCAGCTGATAAGTTAGGTTTGCAGCGCGTAGCCTCAGACTTAACCAAACTCAGTGGACCCAAATATTGCTGTGGCCCTGAGTACAGGCTGACTAGATAGAGAAGACTATGGCAAGTGTCAGAGTAAAGCGAGGACTGAGTCTGAAGATTACCTTCAGCAGTTATGAAATTGATGACTAAAATATTAGACATTAATGGGACAATTTGATAAGATGGTTGAAATGGGTTTCCTACAAAATGGAAGCTTTAGTCTAAAACTATTGAACCAGCTAAAGACATGTTTGGAGAGAAAGGACAGCAGAAATGCAATAGAGCGTGCAGCCCTGTCCAGAGGAAAGGGGGAAAAAATTGCAATTCAGATGGGTAGGCTATATGAAGACAAGAGCTGAGGCCAAGGAAAGCTCAGAACTGAAAATTAGAATAGATTCATGAAGGATCTGATTAACTGATCAATGAAATCACAAGAACAAATCAACTGATTATATCTTCTTTAACCGAGGTACACAAGTAAACTGAATCCATTCCGGCTGATCCAGTCCTGGATGAGGAAATGTGCTGCGGTACAGTGAAAGTCTGATAAAGAGACATTGGCTCTCCCTCCAGACTCCCAGAGAAAGAAATGCCAGGAAAAAGAGGAATATTGACATTTAGGACATTGTTGAAGCCATAGCTCACGTGACCAGCCTGACTGAAACCTTTGACAGCTCCACAGACACAGCTGGAGCAGTTTGGATAAGGTTGTCAAAAAGTCTGGGCCACAATGACTGAGATAAACACAGCGATGAGAAAATCAGATCAAGCTGGACTTCTACAAGATCAGCATTACAATATGATAAAATGTTCCTTTCTTAATCACCATCATTTTCATCACACGTCACTTCAGCCAGACAAGAAGGAAAACAGTTTGAAGTATTCTGAGTACAGAAAAGGACAATGCACAGTCCAGAATTACCACTGGACTAAGCAGCTGAACAACAAGACCAGACCGAATCATGTAGGACTCTCCTAGTCCGCATGACCATCACCTTAGGACTACAGCGGTCTGAAAAGAGATGCAATGAGACCCTGAAAGTTCTGAGTTTAAGTAGTCCAGAAACTGCTGCTGGAGTAAGGAAGAATTGTATTTCATAGCAGGTGACATCATGGAAGACAGACAGCATGAAGGAGCATGCTTAACATACAGAAGATCAACACGAAGACAACTGTCAAAAGAAAATGATTGGTGCTGTATCAAGCCATCCTGGTACAAGGATATGGACAGTACAGGGGACAGGGCGAAGCAAAGGGCAAAAGTGGACATTGGAAAAGAGATGTTGCACAATTTCTAAAACAGACTGACAAGAAGAAAAAAAAAAGAAAACAAATGGACTGAACTGGAGGGGGCGGGACAGACGCTAGTGACAGGATCCAGCAAACACACACTGGGTGAGTTACAGCCCCTCACAGATGAAGTAAAAATCTTAAACACATTGAAACTAAAATGAATTCCATATTAAGATCTTAGTAAGTAATACTAAACTTGAACATCCTGTTTGTAATGAATACTGAGCACAGAGGCGTTGGGAAATTATCAATTATCACTACCCAAGAAGAGGGGCAGATGTTGTATATATGATACTATGTGGTGTGTGGTATTCAGATTTTGATGAAACATGACAAAACACTTTTGATAATCAGAGCACTGGGAATGGGGAGAGAGGGTGACCTCTAAGGCAAACACATACACATGCACACAGACAGCCCTGCTGCTGCATGCAAGGGGTAGGCAGAAACACACACACACACACACAGACTTACACTGCACGTTAGTCTACACAGTTCAGGTGGACAGATGAGATTATAGATAAATTATGGACAAATAATTTAGGGACAGTTAAGAAGAGAAAGAGGGCTATTTTCC